GCGGGGGTCAATTTGACCCCAACCTCCTGAGATCTCGGGAACTAAGAGAGCTAGAGACACCAAATTTACACGGTGTCTTGACCTGTACATAGACTCACTTAGGTCAAAGTTTGAACTTCATAGGCCATGACCTTCAAGTCAAATAAGGTAAAACAAGGTCAAATTCCAGGTTGGTCTAGAAAGTGCCCCCAGAACGTAGGCAACCGTTTCTAAGCAAAAGGTCATAAGCCTATTTGAAGTCAATGACGTTTTTGTCCTTTTAAAGGTCATGGTGACCAAAATCATACAAAACTGCCCTGAGTTTCGCATTTGAATAAGCGACAAAGAATACGCTAGGCAGTATGTTCCCAAAACAAAATGTCGACCCAGGTCATGTTAGGTCTATGATCTGTTCTGACCTCTAAGAAGTTAATGGAAGATGCATAATGCGGTTCCTGCTGTCAATAAACTCGAAATGAGCGCCACAATTTATCCCATACAGCAAGACGTAGAGTAATAAATCAGGTTGGTGTTGACCTTGGTCTGACCTTCATACCTGACCTTAGCTGAACGTTATTTGCTTATTCAATATTTTTGGTGCCTAAAAAAGCATCTCAGAGATGTATGGCTTCGTCAAACACTCCGTTGATGTATCGGATTGAACGATTACCTTGAAATTATTTTTGCTGAAACCATGACCTGACTTTAACCTGCCATAGGTCAGCGACCTTGCAAGGTACATCTCAATTTTTTGTGTCAAGCGATCTGCTATTTAATTGTCTATAGCTATGCAAAATTTGGCGCGGTCGCACCGCGCCGTTCGGAAACTATTCTGGAAAAACCTTGGGGGGGTCAATTTGACCCGCCACCCGAGCGCGTGTTAAGATCGCTCTGAGCTCTTCTCTTGCTGAAGGCAAAATGAAGCTTTCCCAAAACTACATAAATAAGTGCCATTCTGTGTGACGTGGAAAAATGGGCAGATTACGCATAAACACACCAATCGCTGTGGACGTTTGGGAACATATTATAAGGCTCTAGAACCGGTAACATAGTGTTAGTGGGCAGTGCAGCAGGTAGTGGGCTAATGACATCGGGATGACTCAAGCCATGCTTCAATAAAGCAAAGCACAGCAGCAATCTAGAGTGCTGCTCCGTCCCCTCGCTTTTAGCATGTCAGAGAAACCCACACATCGAGAGAAGAATAGTTTGCAATGGATGCGATAAGAGAGCTCGAGAAATGCAGAGTTTTAAGCGAAACGCATTGCTATGGCAAAAAAAAACAGTCTCAGTCCAAAATGTGGTCTCAAAAAAGCTCTTCAACTGGTGGGATGCGTTTTGAAGTCACTGCAGAGCCTGACAACAAATAAACATTGCAGCAGCACTGACAAGTAGCAGCGGCAAGATCAGTGATATCTGGCAGGTGCAGTGACAGCGAGAAGGCTTTCCTTGAAGCTCTCGGAATGCACAACGCATAAGTCGCAGCGGATATCTGGAGAGCAAGATTTTAAATCTTGGGAATCGCTGTTTTTGTCTGAAAAGCAGATCGCGGATAAATAGATCAAAATGCCCCAAGCGATGCTTCCAGACCATTAATGCTACTGTTTTTGCATGCTTCGACTACCTTCTAGCTAACTGGCTTGTAGCACTAGCTTCGACGAATGACCATATACATATGCAGATTTCGCGCCATGCCGCGAAATGTGCTAGTGCGATGGTGGCGTATATACCAGGTTCTAATACACACCGTTTTCTTGGATTTACGCTTGTTTCTTGAAGCAGATGAATTTGGGTTCTACGGGCATTTACAATCACCACCCAGCACGCACATGCATATGAAGAGGACGGGAAATGTACCACCAGCCACCGACCGATCCCAAGGCTGCAAGGGATTCATGCCGTGTTGCTGCACGAAAAGCTGGCTTACAGACACAGTTAGTTTCCCATGGCCGACAAACGTCCACGGTAACCCGCACACCACAATTGGTTCCCGTCAGGGACTCCGGCAGCGAGAGGGCGGATCGGCCTAGCGCTGGTCAAACATCCCCATTCGGTGGATGACGGCCGACGGCAAAACGCTTATTTTCACTCAAAGTTTGGTGCCCAGCGATGTTTTTTGCTGAAAATTATTATGACAGTCACCAAAAAATATTGGAGTGTACACTGCACCACCTAATATGAGGTCTCAGTGGTAATGTATTTCGTCACACAACACTTTGAGACTTGTAAACGTCCTTTACCGTACCATACGCCTCCGCAACAGCATTTCAAGGTTTCATCACAACTCGGCGACATATTCTATGACTTACAATTGGTCGCTCGACTCGGTGACAGATCGGCGACAAGTCACTGAATCTTCAATTGTCCACCCGATCGGACGGTTCGCTGCTTTGACCGGCCGGCTTTTCCACAGTTATATACCATAGGAAAGACAATGCTGAAAACGTTCTAGGTGTGGCGATTCATCCGGCCACAAGGACACGCTTCAGTCATTGCAATACTGATACCATAAATACGAGCGGTGTTACCTCACGCGCCACGAGTAAATGTCCTGCGAACGCGGCATTCGCATTGCAGCTGCCTACGGAGTATCCGTCTTTGTTAAATTCATTGGTGACGCAGCTGTGGCGCTTCTCGTCCTCAGCGACGAGAGGAACAAACATCTTAGGGAAGTTAGCGAGATCATCTGATCGGGATCCAGTGACCCGTGATTATCCAGACCGCTTTCCAACACGCAGAAAACCGCTGATGCACCAGAGCAGTCGGCAGTCGCAGGCATCCAGTCACAGCAGTCGCAGTCAAAGGCACTTCCACACAAAGTTTGCTCGGAGATACCCGGCATCTTTGACCATTCTAGAGGAGTCAATATGAGCGTTTGGGAAACCAGGGATACGGGATTCAATGCCCCGCGGTGCCCGCCCTTCCTGTCAGGGTGCGTGGCAGGCGACGCCACAAAGCCTTAGCAGCTGAGGGCGTCGCAAAGCCCCAATGACAAGAACCGCTCATGGGCCACACTGACCTCCCTAGGCCCCCTGCGTACTCAGGCCTCCACGGCCGCTCACGAATCGCTTTAGCTGATCAAGGCCCTCCTGACCGCTGAGAGCCCCTTCGTTTCTAATGCGCCTCTGGTGGATAGGGAAAGATGAAAAAGTGTGACACCTGCTGAGGTTCGAACCCATGACCACTTCGTGAAATTGATCAGGTATGAATCTTCGGTCCGCCTGAACTCTGTTCGAAACAATACGCAAATGGGTAGAAATGTTCAGAAAGAAAGGTGCACATCTTCAGGGGGGATATGGATGGGTCAGACCGATGAAGGTGATCTAAAGGTGAAAGATAATGTTTTCCATTGACGGCTTATACTAAAAGCGCGTGGAATCTCCTCACCGAACCCCCATCATCCCGCCTTCGTTTTTCAGTGGATTACAAAAATGTGTTGCATTTAGGCGGAAACAATGCGGTTCAGTGTGATGTGGGATCTGGTGATGTTTGGATCAGCCGTCGTCCTAGAGGCTACTTATCTGTAAGCTGCACAGAACCTTGCACGGCAGCCCAGTGCTGCAAATGCCGTCAAACCGCACAATGGCCAAATTGTGTACTCTACGCTAGGCTCGAGATTCGTAAATTCACCATTCGGTCCCACGTTTTACCCCATCTTCTGCGCTGCATCTCGGTCTGGGGTGGGGTTGCAGCGTGTCACCTAAACAGAGTGTGATGCATGATAACCGAGGGTCAGGACCGTCACCGACGCTCGTCGGCGAGATTCGAAGGCGACTGCCGTCCAAACGCCGGGCTGGCTCGGTGTAAGTGACCTCGTCACCCACCATGACAGCCTCACTGTGTTCAGGGCCCGCAATGACTCGAAGCACCGGCGGCGATCCAGTCCCTGTTCATCCCGCATTCCGCTGTATGTCAACGTGCCACCCGAGTGGCAGCAGTTAACGCCCTTGATCTGCCCGCTCTCCACCTGGTGGCGACACGCAGGGTCTTTCTTATCGCGCGGCACTATCCTGCAGCCGCCTGCCGCCGACCGCCACCGCCTCTCGCGCCCGCAAGGAGCTTCGCGCCGGACTGGACGCTGCGCTTACAGGTGCGTAGCATGTTTTGACGAAGCGTCTGAGCGATGACATGACTGCTATTGCACCTTTCACAGCTTGTCGACACCGCTCCTGTTTTATTAAAGCCCTCTTGACTGGCTGACCTTTCCGCCCGAATGGGATCGGTCCGTCTAAAATCCCTTGTCCCCATGCATACATAGCCGTCTTGGGCCTCACGCGCCCGCTAGATTTTTATTAGTTTATCCAGATTGTCTCTTCCGCTTATCCCAGACAAGATTAAGGGAATGCTTATTATTCATAAATATCACCCCTCCCCTTAACATGCGTATAACATACCATTCAAAAGCGCGAATGGCTGCCTCACCTCCGACGTTGAATGTCACTGATCTGTGACATCACCTGATCAGAGCCATCGAACAACCATATCCCGAACTGTGTGGTTATCTGCATCGCACGCGGATTCACGCCTGATAACGCGTGTTAGCGACGCCTTAATGAGTGCAGGAGGCAAGGAACTCCATATCTAATTCCAGTGTTATACTAAAAATCCGTCAGGTGTGCACTCGTGTGCTCGAAGTTTACTTCTACTGAATATGTCACACTGCCACTGGCAAACCCTAGGTTGTGTCGCGCAGATGCTGCCATAGTAACTATCTCTCGAGTTACGTGGGTGTCCAGCTTACTGGGGTTCGTGTCATGCCAAGGTAAAATGAATTTCAAGTCCAGTGTTTGCAAGAAAGCTGCCTAAGAATTGAACGATGAATTTCTCGGGAAATTTGGTATTTGTTCCCTCCCCCGAGGAAAATAAGCGGGGGCGGGGGCAACTCAAGGCTAGCTACGTAGCTGCATACCTGAACACAGTAACGATTGGTGCAACTTCCGTGCCCATGTGACAGATAAGAGGGTGAAATGCGACCATTTCACCGTCCACGCAACACCTGTCTAGCGTGACCCTCCGTACCAGCCTCAGGTCTGGACGACCTCGACTCGGCTTGCGTGAATATCGTCCATCTCTGCAGTCCACGTCACCGTCTGTTAGTCCCTAGCACCTTACGTCGAGCAGTCCGCCAATAACCTGCAGAGACCTGCGTGGCCTTCAGTGCACGCTTTCACTGCACAGCGCCGTTCCGCGAAGATCGCGGAGCATCCGTGATCAATGACGCTTTTTATTTTAAAATTGAAGTCGCTGGCGACAGTTTGGAATGAGGAGGGATGGGTGCATGACGCTGTATAAATGGAACTTCGAGAGCGTTCTGTTTTGTTCGGTTTCGTTGCACGGTGCTGAGGCCACCCAGACATGTGAGAACGAACGAGGGTTTCAGCGGTAGGCTCAGCTTCTTGCAACAACGCCCAGACGATCAGCCAAAACTTTGGAGACCGGATGTTCCAATTTATTAATGCTTAGGATAAACGCTGCGCACAGCACGAGGTATGACGTATATTGAACGCTTACCACACATAAAAAAATCGGACATTACAAATGTCCACATGCGTTTATCGCCGCCCCTTTCCCCGACCTCCGCCCCGGCCGCCGCCTCTTCGGGAGGATCCGCCACCCCTGCCCGCCGCCGCCCCTCTTCCTCCGCGTCCGCCCCCTCTGCCCGCGGCACCGCCGGCCTTGCCTCCGCCGGTCTTGCCGCCACGCGACTTGCCTCCGCGCCCCTTGCCGACGCCGACGGTACTTCTATTTCGCCTTCTCTCCGTAAGATCGCGCTGCTTGAGGATCTGGTCGGAGGAGCGCATCTCGGGCCGCTTGGCGTGTGCCGGCCCGCCGCCCAGCGCCGGTCGCGACTGGTTCTTACGGTGCCGGATCACTGAGGCACGGGGTTCACGTGGGTTACGGATCAAGTCTGACTTACTTTCAGAACAGCCTCAGGTAGTCTGTCAAGTGATGGAGTAGCACCCAAAGACACTTCATTTGCTTTTCCCTTTTCAGCGCCAGAGCAACATGGCAGCACTCCAGTCCGCTACACCAAGACGAAGGAGCAGAAAGACATCTAAGATGTCCGCACACCCAAAGACAAACAGCATAATCAGTGCAGAGACGACCATTTCAGCCTGAATACTTTTGAGGAGCTTCCGCATGCATCCGCAAATGCTCAAGATTCTTATGCAAACGCATTTCTACAAAACATAAAAATGTAGCCAGTTTCTATAAAATGTTGGGATTTACACTTGCGCAGAGAATTTCGGACGCCCGCTTAGGTGGCCAAGGAACAATGCAATCTACTACTAGGTAAAATACAACTAGGGACAATACAGTCTACTAGGACGTGAAGGCAAAAGTGGCACTTAACACATACAAGAAGTTAGATATCGTATCAAGCCAGACGACAAACAACGCAGATGTAGATACATGCCGATCACGCCCCAGGACCACGCGTATGCAGTACAAACACATGAGTTAATGCGGCGGCCAACTTTCGCGAAGCTTTACAAGAGTGAACGTGTGCGAGACGTTGCACGGACCTTACGACATTCGTGGATCACCGCTCTTTCACCCATCTTTGATTTTAATTACAGAAATGATTTGATGGGCCCCAGCCCGTTAATGGGTGAATAAGTGCAGTTCCGGGCTGGTATGACCTGACTTTGACACCACACAGTACCACCTCTACCCGCTAATGAGCAGATGCGTATACCGTTTTTGGCCGCTATGACCCGATTTCAGTAACAAACAATGCAAAACACAAAAGACAGCCATTATGTTGGGTCACAACCCCTTCCGTTTTGCTTCACATCTGACCCCCTCCCCACCCCGGGCCCCACCCCTGCCTCAGCTAGCCCATGAGCTCCCGCGTCTTCAGTACCTTTGAGGCCGCGACCGCCCTTCCGCTGGTGACCCTCGTCGGAGTCGGAGTCCTGCGCGTCCAGCTGCGTCTTCTTCTTCCACTCGTCGTACTTGCCGGCCTTCTGGAACGTGGCCGGGATCCAGACGCCCGACTCGGTCCGGATCTTCTTGTTCTTGCCGTCCTGCGGTGTCGTTGGCCAGCGGCAGTGAGTATTCCGGGGAGTCTGGACACCAAGGCAGCCCAGCGAATCCGGTGGCGGAGTGAACCGTCCATCATGATGAGACGCCGGGATACGACTCCCAAGTACAAGCACAAAATGTACCAAGATGCGCTACAGAAACGTCAGGCCTGAGCTCCTCGCTTGACAAGACGACCTCCAACAGCAGAAAGAACACGCCGCGGGGCGCGGGCGCCAAAAGAGACAAGGGAGCCGGCCCAGATGCGGACCGACTCCCAGACAACTCGGCCTAAATGCGGACCGACTCCGAGACAACTCGGCCCAATGCGGACCGACTACGAGACAACTCGGCCCAAATGCGGCCCGATTCCCAGACAACTCGGCCCAAATGCGAACCGACTCCGAGACAACTCAGCCCAAATGCGGACCGGGTTCCAGACAAATCGGCCCAAATGCGGACCTACCCCTAGACAACTCGGCCCAAATGCGGACCGCAGGATCCCGAGCTCGTCTGTGACTGGGAAGCGCCATCACTCACATTTGAATTGCCGACATATTTCTTCTTCTTGGGATCCCAGTGTTTGGCATTAGCCTGGCGGCGGTGGCGCGTGTCGTCATCCATGGCGAGGTCCAGAAGGGCAGTGCTCGCCTCGCGCTCAAACGCGCTCGTCACCGAGTACCTGCCGGGAGGGGGACCAGGGCCGCGTCACGGACCGTCCGTGACGATGACGCGCCGCGAGCGCCGGCGCCCGGCGTCAAAGGAAGCTGTGTGGTGCAGGAAAGCGGAGACGGGTGGAGGGGGGGGGGGGGGGGGGGGGGGGGGGGGGGGGGGGGGCGACACCGCAGCTGGCAATCTGCATGCACGTGGACATGCGGCCGGCGCAGAGAGGGCATCGCGAATGATCGGGCGGTGAGAACTCTCCACAACATAGACTCGCACGGACGCCATGTCGCAATACGACTAGTTTCGAGCATTCCAAGACAAAAGAAGCCCAACATTTATCCCGAACTCCACCAGGCGTCCTGCCCACGCAAACGCCGCGGCATTCAGCAAACACCGGGCCCGACAGTGCAGTGCTCGCGCCTCACCGCGACGTACCCGCCGAAGCACACCGATCCGCACCACTCCGGATGCCGCGCTGACCGGCCTCCACCTGCGCGCGCCCCGCAGCGCGGCCTACCCACCCGGCCTCGGTGTGGTGATCCTTGGCCTGGTACGGGATGTAGTTCTGCTCGTCGCGCGCCGCCGCCGCCGGGCGCGGGCCGCTTGGCGCGCTGCTCGCGCCGCCGGTCGTACTTCTGCCGATCGCGCACCACGCGCTGGAACGTGTCCGCTTATGGCCTGCTCCGAGGAGGCGGCCAGCGGCACGCGCTCCGGCCTCCGGCTCCGGCGCTGGCGGGGCCGGGCCGAGCGAGGCTGTCATCACAACACCATGCACAGCCTGCAGCGGGGCAGCGCTGACATCGGCGGCACGTGCTGTGCTTCAGCTCGGCACCTGAGTGCTCTACGACTGGGCTGCACGTGCGAGACGTAAAGGTTTTGGACGATTTGATCGGCTCCAGCTTTTTGAACGTGAGGAGTGTAAGCCGGGAACGTTGATCTGTAGATTGAAACGCGCGCAGTGCCCAGCGCCGGTGTAATTACATCTGGCCGACAAACGCCGCTCTGCACCCGGCTCATCGCACTGCGGCCCTGAGCTTGGACGTGCTGGGAATGCTGACCTTTAAGTCCCCACGCGGCGAGCTCCAGCCATTCAGTCCCGAGATGACTTGGACCAATGAACGAACCACGCGACGCAAGTGGAGGTGTTCAGTCAAGCCTAGGACAAACAGCACACTGACCGTCCGGCCATCTCACTGGCAATGAAGGGCAGCAGCGGCTCAGCACACGCATGCCACGCTCACCCTCCTGCTGCTCGTCGCCGTCCTCGAGCTCAGCCGCCTTGCGCTTGGCGACGGCACGTTCAATGACGTGCTCATCCCTGTTCCGCTTGGCCTTCATCACCTTGGCGCTGTTTTGGTGAGAAGTAACGCCCACTTCGAATATGGTCTGCAAGAGAGGCGCACGTCCCGTCACGAATATGGTCTGCAAGAGAGGCGCACGTCCCGTCACGAATATGGGCTGCAAGAGAGACCCACGTCCCGTCACAAATATGGTCTGCAAGAGAGACCCACGTCCCGTCACTAATATGGTCTGCAAGAGGGGGGCACGTCCCATCACGAATATGGTCTGCAAGAGAGGCGCACGTCCCGTCACGAATATGGCCTGCAAGAGAGGTCCACGTCCCGTCACGAGAATGGCCTGCAAGAGAGGCGCACGTCCCGTCACGAATATGGTCTGCAAGAGAGGCGCACGTCCCGTCACGAATATGGTCTGCAAGAGAGGAGCACGTCCCGTCACGAATATGGTCTGCAAGAGAGGAGCACGTCCCGTCACGAATATGGTCTGCAAGAGAGGAGCACGTCCCGCCACGATATGGTCTGCAAGAGAGGAGCACGTCCCGCCACGAATATGCTCTGCAAGAGAGGAGCACGTCCCGTCACGAGTATGGCCTGCAAAGGAGTGCGTGGATAACGGCGGCTGATCCCAGACAGCTCATCACGCACGATGAGTGATGTGACACGGCAATGGTTAACCGTCCCCGCAGGATATGCCCTCAGGTATTACGCCTATTGAGAAGACTGCCTCACCACCGATCACCGGTAAACTTCCCAGCACCGGACGCCAGCACGGTGCCCATCTCGCTGAGACGCCCTCTGGTCAGACCACCATACTGCAGCAGTCGGACAGCCCTGACCGTGAGACGCTACACCACAACAGCCCGCCACGCACGCGCCCCGCTCCGGCCGCCTCTGACCGCTGAGGCCGCCCCAACCAGACTGACCCGGGACGCCTTGTAGCCGCGCACGGCGTCTATGAGCCGGGCGCGCTCGTCGGCGCCGGCCGTGGCGCCGGCCGGCCGCAGCACCGGATGCACGCCCAGCGGCCGGGCCGCCTCCTCCTTCATGCGGCGCACGCTGGCCGCGCTCGCCGCCGGCCGCGAGCGCAGGTACTGCTTGAACGCGTTCTGGCTGCTCTTCAGCGCCGCCCGCTGCAGCACGGAGAGTGCAGGTTGGTGAGGGCGCTCCCGTGCCACGCAGGGCGGCCAAGGCGTGAGCGCCGGCTGACCTCAGGTCAGAGGAGGTGGAGGTCATCTGAGCTCGTTGTCACTGACGGCGGACCTAATTCCTAGCTCGTAACGACGACTGAAACTCACGACGCATCTAAGCCAGCTGGCCGCATTGGTCAGGGCAGGCCCAGACCAGCCTCATAGTCATTGCATGGTTGAGTGAGCGACTAAGCGAGTGCGTGACTGATTGATTGATTGATTGAGTGAGTGAGTGAGTGAGTGAGTGAGTGAGTGAGTGAGTGAGTGAGTGAGTGAGTGAGTGAGTGAGTGAGTGAGTGGGTGAGTGAGTGAGTGAGTGAGTGGGTGAGTGAGTGGGTGAGTGAGTGGGTGAGTGAGTGAGTGAGTGAGTGAGTGAGTGTGTGAGTGAGTGAGTGAGTGAGTGTGTGAGTGAGTGAGTGAGTGAGTGAGTGAGTGAGTGAGTGAGTGAGTGAGTGAGTGAGTGAGTGAGTGAGTGAGTGAGTGAGTGAGTGAGTGAGTGAGTGAGTGAGTGAGTGAGTAAGTGAGTGAGTGAGTAAGTGTGTGTGGTGAGTGAGTGAGGTGAGTGAGTGAGTGAGTGTGTGTGTGAGTGAGTGAGTGAGTGAGTGAGTGAGTGAGTGAGTGAGTGAGTGAGTGAGTGAGTGAGTGAGTGAGTGAGTGAGTGAGTGAGTGAGTGAGTGAGTGAGTTAGTGAGTGTGCACGCATGCGTGCGTGGTCGTGTGTGCGTGTGTCGACAGCAAACGGTGTCGGTGTCCTCGGCGGCTCACCAGGTCGTTGGAGGTGTCATGCCACAGCTGAATCCGCTCCGAGTCCACGTCCACTAGCTCCTGCGGTATGGAGCCCAGGTAGCCGTGCCAGTTGACCTCCTGCCGCAAGTGGTGTGCAGGGGGAAGGGGCGTCACGGCAAGCTCGGGGACATCGGACGAGGCACATGACTCAGCCACACTGCGTCTGGCTGGGCACAGGCCGTGCCGTATCAACACCCACATCATATCAAACATTGGTGGAAGGAGCCGAAGCCCGTGACCAAATGGGTGTCAGTTATGATTGCATTGAAAGACCCTAATTCAGTAGTTTGGCCGACTTAAGTACATTAGGGTATAGGAGATCTGTGCAGTATAATATATATATATATATATATATATATATATATATATATATATATATATATATATATATAGACGGCTACGACTATTGAGTGGTTTCGACACTGCCGATGTCTGGCTGGTTTTACATTTTTCCGTTTTAAACGTAGATAAGACAGTGGTAGTAGCCTTATTCCTCAGACAACAACCAAGAGAGTGGATATATAGATCCGCTGATATTTCCGCAAAATGCCTTCATCGAAAAGAATCACAGAAGTGAATCCTCCATTCTCCCGGTTTTTCTCCAAGGAGTAAGGTTATGACTACTGTCTAATCTATGCGATTAATGTTACTCGCAAAGACACTTAATTACATAATTTTTACGTTTATGGTGAATTTCACGGAACCATGAAAAAAACGCAAGCATTTTGGGTGGATGTTAGTCACGACTGGGCTACGCGCCCAAGCAGTTTCCTTGGCCTGATGTGCCTCGGCTGGCCGCTGGGTGATCTATGAGTTCCGTTACAGAAAAGGCGGTTTGAAAACATTGGTGGCTTTCCGGTCTTCCGCCGGCGGCCGTAAGTGCCGAAAGCTATTACACAAGGCGGCCCCGGGCAGAGGTCACGATATCAGCCTGCCAAGGCGTCACCGGCCAGGCGGAGCACATCGCGCTACACAGCCTCCCATGAGGCGACGTGAAGTCCTGCCCGGCGCGCAGCAACAATGTCCGTGACAACCCAGATCTGGCCCCTTCCACACCAGGATGCAGCCGCACACTACGAGGCAAACGGCTTATTAGAACCCCAGGCAGCTGATGATGCAAACAAACCCCGGCAGCCGTACTGGCAACGCACACACAGTACATACCACTAGCTCTTCAACAAAAGCCTCGACGCTCCGAGCCATTTGGCTTCGCCCCTGATCGCCTACCTTGTCTAGGTTGGTGCTGGGTGTGAACGTCAGTTTGGAGCCCAAGAACAGGTACAGGTCGAGCAGATAGGGCAGCTCGTTGTGGATGAGGATCGAGTAAGCCGTCCCTGGCCGACCAGCGCGGGCAACACGACCTGAAAACGGACGTCAGTCAGGGCGGTTTTTTTTAGACAACAGCCCGGTGGCGCCGGCAACAACAGGAGCATTTTTCCACAACACCGGGAATGGCGAAAGCGTGGATTACATGGGCACAAACCCAAGTCATATCAGAATATGCCAACAACCTGACGAGAGCAAACAAGATTATGACTTAAGATATATGCTTTCTGAGTGATGTCATGGCTTTTAAAGAACAACTATGAGCTGAGCACAATCCCTGAGGTTGCAATACCCGTCTGATGTCGGTCTCTATGGTTGCTTTTCCTTGGCATCGCGTGCACAATACAAAGCACACCAGAATGCGCGCCACGTGCCGTCCAACAGCAGCCAATGACCAAGGTACTCGGAGTCCTGGGATCCCAGCAGCACCACCATTCCGTCCATCCCTGGCGAACCGGCCCCTTGTCCGCGCCACTCACCGACTCTGTGCACGAACAGCTTGGGTTTGGCCGGAAAGTTGTAGTTGATGACGTTGTCCAGGTGGGGGATGTCGATACCACGCGCCGCTACATCAGTCACCACCAGCACATTGACCTGCCCAGGGGGCGGGGGGGGGGGGGGGGGCAGGTCAGCGAAGCGCCAGCAGGCTATGGCCAGAGGAGCACCGCCAGGCTATAGCCAGAGGAGCACCGCCAGGCTATGGCCAGAGGAGCACCGCTAGGCTATGGCGAGAGGAGCGCCGCCAGGCTATGGCCAGAGGAGCGCCGCCAGGCTATAGCCAGAGGAGCACCGCTAGGCTATGGCCAGAGAGCACCGACAGGCACCAGAGGAGCACCGCCAGGCTATGGCCGGGGAGCCCGACAGACTATAGCCAGAGGAGCGGTCGGGCGTCCAAACACTGACCGCAGACAGAAGCGCAGAGGCAGGGCCAGCCGTAAGGGTGATGGCTCTCGACGCACGCCAATGCTGACCTACGTGACATCGCCGTTCCATGATGGAGACCAGGAACAGTGCAAGTAAACTACCCGCGGCGGTATGCGAACCACAAGCTTTTAATCATAATATCAATGTCCCAAACAACAGGGATACCCAATATTTACGTCTGAATAGTAACTAGGTACCTGCCCACACAGCAAGCCACCCTGGCAGCTCTGGAAACTGCAGCCCCTGAATTCTGAATCCAACGGACAGCACCGTAGGTCAAAGAGGCAACAGCGCCTTTCAAAGCCCCATGCCTATAACATAAACATTTACTGGGCTTTCTTGCTCACATCGACTATTATGATTATTACATTATGACTATTCAGACAGAAATACGAGGCGACCCAATCCCCGTCCACTGATGACGTCATCGACAAATCTCTGCAAATTGCGAGGTGCCCAGTCTCTGTTCACGTGACCACGGTACACCTATCTCCACGAAACGTGCTCCGGAGCGACGCCGACACAGGGCTGCACGGCGTCCGGTGATGGCCACCGACGACGACCGTGAGGCGTCCGTCACAGACGGCACTGCTCGGTGCCACCTACCCTCTTGTGACGGAACTTGTCCGTGTTGATTTTGCGCGCGGCCGGGTCCAGGTCAGAGTACAGGAACGTGCAGCTGAGGCCGGCCCGCTCCAGCAGCTGGGCCAAACAACGCGTGCCAACATCAGTCATCGGTGATAGAAATACGCATGCGTGAACTGCGTGAGAAATCGGTTGTGGACGAGCGTGCTTGAAATACGCCGTCCGGGCACGCAGCTACGGTGACTTCTGAACGTGAGAAACCCCCTGTGGCTGACAAAAATACGGAATATGGATGCTCAACTCCGCTCTATAAATGCGGAACAAAGCAGGAGCTATACGAGGCACCCAACAAACCCAGGGACGGGGATAAGTACGGTCCGATTTTTAAAATGCAAAACCAGATTAAAACGTCCCATGGCAGACGGGGCAATATCATAAAGTAGGCCGTAAAAAGATAACTGGCCCATCACGGACCTCATGCCCTCACCAGACCCCCGCCCACCGGCCGCATCAGCCCTCACCAGCCGGATGTACTCGACGTGGTGCTTGGTGGCGGCGAACACCACCGTCTGCTGGCCGGCGGGCACCACGTTCTCCAGCAGGTGCAGCAGCAGCAGGCTGCGCTCGTCGTCGCGACAGCGCAGGTACGCCAGGCTCAGCTGCTCGGAGAGCTTCGTCTCCACGTCCAATCTGGCGGACAGGGGGCGGTACGATGTCGGTCGGCGGGGGCGCCGCGCTACCCGGGGTCCGGTGGCGGCGTGACGTGCGAGCTGAGGTGGTGCATGACTTCCAGATGGCACTAACGGCCACAGCGAGCGGCACCAGCCTGCTGTTCACTGATCTGACCAGTATGTGCCCTCCGAGTGACTCAAGGGAAGCCAAGGGATGATGATGATTGATGATGATTGTGGCTTTTGAAGCGGATCAGTTAAAAACGCCATTTCATTCCCGGGAAATCCTAATGATGTGTATATATATCCAGCGCGTGCATGACCTGAGCTGGCCGTGACCAGCATGTGACTGACCTGACCAGGACAGGGTCGGTGAGGCCGGCGCGAGCAAACTCCACCAACATGCCGGGCAGCGTGGCCGAGAAGAGCAGAGTCTGTCGGGCATCAGGCAGCCGAGCCAGGATCTCGCGCAGCTGCTCGGCGAAGCCCATCTCGAACAGCCGGTCCGCCTCATCGAACACCACGTACTCGACCGCATCCAGCCGCAGCTCCATCTCCACACACACGTGCACGAACCTGTGGCACGGGGGGGGGGGGTTGAGGTACATTTTAACCAACATGTCGTGAAACCCAGGTAGCCAGCATTGTCACCAAAGTTATTACTGTATTTTAAGGACGTCCGACTTCTCCCAAATACAAGTCAAGTTTCTTACATTATTTGTAGAAGACATTCGTGTGCATTCTAAAGGAGAGCACAAGCCAAATTTGAAAAGGCACAAACACCCCTGTGATTTTGCCTCGCTCTACAACCGACGCCCCGCATGAGAGACAAACAAGTGGCAATGCTAACCTGCCCGGCGTGGCGATGATGATGTCGGGCTTCTCGTGCAGCGCCGAGAACTGACCCTCCATCGAGTCGCCTCCCAGCACGGCGGCCGCCCGCAGGTTGGAGAAGCGGCCCAGCTCCTTGGTGAAGCGCAGCGTCTGTGCGCCGCCCGGCACGACGTCAAGCGCGCGCCGTGCCTCGTGCTCGCACCAGCCACGTCGGTATCACAGCATGCACGAGCATGCGAGCAAACAGGCCGTCTGGGTGCCATTACACCAAGTGAAAAGAAACCCCACAGTGCCGTCCTAGCTGTCAGGGTGAGATGGAATCTGCGTCTGGAAAACCAGCTTCAATTCAAATCAAATAAAAAAATCAGCTTCAAAAAACGAGCTTCAATTCCCCGCGGTGCCGTCCTGTCTGTCAGGATGAGATGAGATCTGCGTCTGGGAAACCAGAGGAACGAGCTTCGATTCCCCACGGTGCCGTCCTGTCTGTCGGGGTGAGATGAGATCTGCGTCTGGGAAACCAGAGGTACAGGCTTCGATTCCCCGCGGTGCCGTTCTGGCTATCGGAGTGAGATGAGATCTGCGTCTAGGAAACCAGAGGAACGGGCTTCGATTCCCCGCGGTGCCGTCCTGTCCGTCAGGGTAAGATGAGATCTGCGTCTAGGAAACCAGGGGTACAGGCTTCGATTCCCCGCGGTGCCGTCCTGGCTGTCAGGGTGAGATGAGAGGCAGACGACGGAACATAGCCTCCACAGGTGAGCGCGTCTTACGACGCTATGATAATGACAGCGACTACCACCGACCTGCAGCGCCAGCTCCCTGGTGGGGGAGAGGACCAGAGCCCGCGCGCCAGACATGGCTGACGCCACCTGCAGCTTCTCCAGCATCGGCAGCAGGAAACAGGCCGTCTTGCCGCTGCCCGTGCGAGCCATGGCCACCACGTCCTTGCCCTCCAGGATCACAGGAATACACTGCAAAGTAGCACGGCACAAATGCGGTAAGCGATCTGATAGCTGATGCATGAGTGGTCTGCAAACCTTGTATGAGAAAAAGTGACACGCAGTCACGCCCAATAGCTGAGCTATCCATAATATGACATAACTCGTCACACACCAAAGGGCGACGACGGAAAAAATCGCTTCAGGGCAAGAGTCCTACCTTCCTCTGAATAGGTGTTGGGATCTTGTAGCCCCGCTTGACAATGCCCTTGTATACAGAATTGCTGAAGCCCATGGACTGAAAGCCGCCAGACTTCCTCTTCTTCTTGTTCTGCTCGGCCACCAGGCGGCGCGTGTCCACCTCCTCGGCGTCCGAGACAAGCCATCTGGCTGCTCGTCGTCAAAGCCGAACGTCCTCTCCTTTTTCCTCGGTTTCATATTTGCAGACCCTCTGAAGAACACAATATTTTGCACTCAACCCTTACCAGTTCCAGTAGCTTCACCAACTCCAGCCAGTGGAGGCTGTTACGCCTGCCTGTTGAATCCTTACCGGGTAAGCTTGAAACGACGAAGTAGGTAGCCTTACAAGCACTTTACAAACTGCACTAAGGCATGGTAAGTAACCTGGTTCAGATAGGGTTCTATAGGTTCAAATCCCACACATGGAGTGTATAGCCTGTGTTTTAATATTTGAATGCTTAAACCTCGCCCAGATTCGCCGCTTTTTTCATAAAGGGGGCTGGTGGTGGGGGGGGGGGACATACACAAGGACGAGGTAACCACCCATGCTGTTTCCAAGACTAAGAAAGATAGAGCTTAGAGGAAGCATCAGTGGGTTGCTTTCAACAAGACCTCACGATTGGTAGCAAATTTTATGTTGCTAGGTCGTTAGTTGACTCCATGATGCCAGCCCAGAGTTCAAAGATTAAATCTTCACCCTGATGAAACTTGCTGGAAAGGTAATTAAACACCCTTGCAGGTGGTTAACTCAATTTGAGCCAACTGATACATCCAGAACTGAGAGCTCAAAACTCATGAACTCATGGGGTAGGTTGGACCCAATGTTCACTAATTTGCGTCACATTTTGTGTCTCTAGGTGGTAGACCTTCTGGTCAAATAAATTCAAACAAGAGAAGACTAGTGATCATTGCACGAAATTCTCTACACCCTCCATATGCAATCAGCTTTAACCTAAATACCATATCCATGTGAAAGGTCGTTATGGATGCTATCAGGTCAGTAACTTTACAGGGTCAAAGTAAGTTACCCTGGTTACAGGGTTTGACCTTTACAGGGTCAAAGTGACCCAAAATCACTGACTGTTCATAGCTGATTTTAAATTTAGCTTAAAGAACTATTCTAGGCAGCACGTTCATCAATACAAAAGGTTACTTGATGCCATTTCAGGTCAGTGGCCTTGCTTGGTGTTCCTTAAGTCAAAATAGGGAATCTGTTGACATCCTTGTAGTAAGATAATTCCAAATAACAAACAACTGCCCAATACAGCAAATTTTCCCATCAAAACTTCCGTTTTGAGCTTTGTGACCTTCATTGCCAACCCAAGACCAGTAGAATTGGTAGCAATGTTCAGTTCAATTGCCTATTCATGTAGGAAATTATCTAATAATTTTATGATTTCATACTACAACCCATTGCTACACCCATTTTACTTTCACTTATTGCTCCCTTAAAGGTGAACCACAATCATGACTTAAATTTATATGATACAGTTCAGGAACATTGTGCGGGACATCCCTTTTTAAACAAAATGACCAAATGCTCAATTTGGGTTATGAACAAGGTATAAAACAGCAGGCAAGATCTGGGGGCAACTACATTGCATGTCTTATGATATGCAGATTATTCTGCTTACCATATATCTCTCTTCTATAAACTAAGTATAGTAAAACAGCATTTGTGCACACCATACATCTAGTGGCCAAGCACCATTGTTGTGACACAATGTACCATGCTTTTCTACAGACACAAACACAGGGTAAATTTGAGCACAAATTTGAGCAGAGCAGCCCTGACCAGAAAGAAACCGCAAATACAAATGATACCAATAACCCAATAGGGCTGAAATAACCATTAGGTTATGCATTTTTCTGGGAGTTGGCCTCAATTTACCTCAACCTAACCATATCTAACCTTTTCCTTGAGATCCAAGGTAATATCTCAAGCATATATTTTAATGAAATCCTGAATATTTCCTAGAGGCTTTCCATTGTGTCCACACCATTCCATTGCTATTTAGTACCCGCTTACGAGATCATATGGGTGCCCCATCTGAACATGTGTTCAAAGGAAGTGTTCTTCATCTGTAAGGGTTAAGATTTGAAACAACCATGTTTTCTGAACAGACTTTTCAGTACTGTTCACAGTCCTGCCCTTCAGAAAACTTAAGCCGCTCTAGTTTCTGAGCAAACACCCACAACAATGAGCAAAGGTATATCAGGGAGATTATTCCAAGCCACCTAGAATTCATAACATCATAATAACATCATTCAAATCCTGCCCTTCATGCAGAGACCAACACATCAAATCTTGCCAAGACATGCAACAATAACATTATTGTTGAGGCATTGATATCTGTTGTAAGCACAATATCCCAATGTACCAAACATTAATTGGCTCTCAGTCAATGTTGACCCAAGCATGATGTTGTTAACAAGCCATGACACATTGATGAACATGTTTATTTAACAGAGTTGTACTGTCTAGGGCCATCTTTTCCATTTAAACAGCACACAATTAGTCCTTTGTGAGCTTGTTTCATCATGTCCAATGTTTGCTTCAATATTTTCAAATGTGAAACATTCCCTATGGTGGGCATTATAGGCTAACTCCATGACAACTAATGAACCTGTTAATGGTTTTTATCTCCAGCTCAACGAAGAGACAAACGAACGTTACCTTTCCGGGATGTTACACCGCCTAACACAGGGCGGCCAGGGGAGGTGGCCCAGCCTAACCAGAGCGGAACCAGGGTAAATCAACTTGTGGATGGCCCCAAACACATCGAAATCTTTGTAACAAAATACTTGATCAGCGCTTGCTGCAAGCACGCAGATGCTTACACCCGGCCATACGTTTGGGACGCCTACCCCGCTCTGTATTTGGGCAATTCACACGTGCATCGGAAACATTGGTTCTATTGTCGCAGTTGCGTTGTTTTTGTCGCCTATTTTATTGTACTGGGAATATTTGACCTTCAGGTAAACAGTTTTTTGCCAATTTATCACCATGCCCAATAATAATATATTTCAATCATAATGAATAGATGTTGTCTGAAAAAATGCCCCTTTAAAACAAATATATTTATCATGTTTACAGCAACACATTTTTTTTTACTTCTTGCGTACCATTTTCACCGAAGGTCGCCAAAGGTTACGTATCTAGCGCGTCGGTCTCTTTTCGCCGCCTTTCCTGTGCCGGCTTGGTTGGTGTCCGTCGAGGAACGCGTGAGAGGTGGGGGCTTGTGTGGACTGATATGGAATACATGGAATAAGTGTGTTTAGTCCATAGGTGTGAATACTTAGTTTTGCTCCTCGTCATGATTGCTAGCCGTCGACTTGCAGTGAACACACTGCTCGTGAGTGCGAGATGCGAGCGTGTGATTATTTCTTAATTGGATTTTGCCGACAGTCTGCATGCTAGGTTAGCAGGTACCCAGGTCCTAGTGTGCCAAAAATTAGGCACTGCACCGTCTTGTCAACCCAATACGCCTTTGTGATATTGATGCACTAAACCTTCTGTGCATGTGCTCTAAACCTTTCATGCATTTAGTGCACCACAGTTCATGTCAGGCCCAACTTGTGGAATTTTTTATGTGTGAAATATTAGCTTCCAATATGTTTTCCTGCAATTACTTTTGCAGCATCTCAGTTCCTTGGCTGAAATTGGCACAGCTTGGGCACAGAATTAAGGGGTCATATTTATGACAGATGTCACTGAAATAATTGTAGAGATTTCACTGTCAGGCTGGACATGTTTGGCATGGCATGTATTGTTTGCAGTCCAGCCCTGCTCAGAAACCTAATTAGTCATGGTCTTGATGAGTGTCATTGAGGTAAGTTTGTAATACAATAATAAATAAATACAAAAGACTGTGCATACATACCCTCCAAAACAAAGGGCGGTTACACACCGGGCTTTTACATGCTCCAAATTGGAGGGTGGCTACTCCCACCAGGCTCATACACCCTCAAAAAATATTTCAGATAGTTGTATGTGTCAGCATACACATTTTCAGTGTGGGAGGGAAGTAAGTGCAAACATGCAGAATCTCGTGAAAAGTCTCAACCCGCTGGCAACAGTCGGCTCAACACGTTATAGGCATGAGATGGTCACTAAACCCATCAACCCACTCCAAGTCAGTTCTTGTCTGTTCACAAATTTTCGGCCACCTGGCTGCGTTCTCAGTAGATGGATGGTTAGCATGGGTCTTCGCAGGTGGAAGGCCGCTGGTTCAAATCTTGATGACTGTCCTTGTTAAGTGGGTGGTGTCATGGCTTATCAGTGTGGCATGATGCCAACTTGCTTCACTCCTAAGCGGAATAGATTCTAACTTGGGCGTACCCAGGGCAGAAGCGTAGTTTCTACGTCAAGGAGAAGTGGGGGGGGGGGCGGGTGTCCACACTCAACAGAGACACTGAGGATCCCGTGAACATTGACTGTTCATCTAACTGAAGCCAGCACCTTGTATAAATATAGGCAGTCCTTTTTCATCTGGGAATTTTTGACTGTGAGTCAGAATCAGTTAGTGAAAAGTTAGTTCACACTTCCCTTCCTGGCAGTGCCTTAAACATCATCACATCCCATCCCAGGGTGTCTACCAGCTGCCATTCTGGGGACATGGAGGCGGGTTCACCTAATGGGCTCGTCTGGAGGCCCTCACAAATGTACATCCTACACTGGTGCCCTCCCTGGCGCGCAAAGCCCTCTGGCGGCTTCTGGCTGGGACATTTGACCCGGGATAGGCACAAGAGCCTTCATTGGCGCAACAACATCCTTAATAATCACAGGTGGTTCAGTTAATGACACAGTTACCCATGTTTGGCCAACGGGCCCTTGGCTAAAACGGGGTGAAGGCCGGCCAACACAGGGGCCCCTCATTGGCTCGGGGTGCACCGACCAACGTAAATCGCTGGTCCCGGCCTTGTCCTTGCTTGGGAAATGGGCTCCCAGGCCCAGGCTGGGGCCCAGTCAGTGCAGCTGGCCCTCTGGCTGGTATTTGAGGGTCCGACCCGCGCCATCTCAATGACCGTAAACCAGCCCTTCGGCCCTCCCATATCGGATTTACGGTGCTCCCATTTGAGGTTTCTTCGTGGTCACCTGAATGACACTTCAGGCTTAGGAATCAGTCACTTGTTCCCATGACAGTCCGGTATCAAGGGCAAACTGAGTTTGGGGAGGGGCAAAAAAGTGGAAAATAACAAAAGTATCCCCAAAACCCATGGCAACAAGCGAGTTTCTCCTCAAATTTGGTCTCCTTTCTTTGAGGGGCCCAAATAAGGGACGGAGGGGTTTCTCCAATGGCATAGAAAACTGCGCCACCATCCATCACTGAGGTCTGTAGTTTTTCTGTTCAGGCAGTGGTGATATGACTGCCACTTACATTTTCTTTTCAGAGTTGCAATGTGCCCATTACTTATGCCACCATTTAAATGTCATGAGATGAGGGCATCGATACTGATCACACTACCATTGAGGGACCCGAACGTCACCGGGATTAGAACCGAGCTCACTGGAGAGCCAGATACGCCAACCACGCGGGCATATAAGCCCTGTGCGTAACTGCCCTCTGATTTGGAGGGTGTACATGCACTGCCAATGCAAAACTTATCTAACCATCTCCTAACCTGTCTTAAAACTAACCTCGCATTTACCTGTCCATAGTCCTTGAATTTACCTTGTGCTAGAGTACACTGATACCTATGGCACCCTGGAAAATGTTTTGTTTGCCACATTGAGAGAGGTTTGAGTAATGATTGGGCTTCAGCTAATCTTTATTCGTGGTCAAAAACGGTTGGGCTTCAATGTAATGGTGTCAACAACTATTTTGATCTCTCCAATTCCTGTCAGGTTCTGACTGGGTCTTGTGAACATAAGTGAATGAATGTGCTGTGCATCAAAGTCATCATTTAAAGTCATCCCATCCAACCCCAGACATGTTTCTTGATCTCATAGCATTGCTAGTTGCTATTTTAAATTGTGTCAAACATAACAGCCTGAGAAGGACAAGCAAGCAATCAGCACCAAAAGACTGGTGGCTTTTAATGTGTTAATGTGTTTAAACAGTGGCATGGGGGATTGTGCATTATGAATGCTGACCTTGATGACCGCATGCTCGCTTATATCACATACTTGTAAACAAAATATTAGCAGCAGAGGATGCCAGTATCTGGACTAGAGATCTGGCATCACAATGAAATGGGAAGCATAGTATGAATGAGTACCTGGAGCCATTTTGACAACAAAACTCATGCTCAAATCTCCACATGAATGCAGGCTCACAACACATATTAATTTGTCATCTAAGGAGTTGTCGGACCAGGTCTATTATGTATAAACTTTGTGTTGCAAGTGTGGGAAACTCCTTAAGTTTACTCTTAGTCCAGCATGCTACAGTTGCCCTGAAATGTTTGGGTGAAAGACAGCAATCAGAAATCATTATTGTCTCTAAGCTTTTTGGTAGCTTCCTTTTCCCCTACACTCATCATGCTGCCGTGCTGTCAGATTGTCTTGAAAGTGGCATATGCTTTACAGTTTTGTAGGCTGTTTGATGCACAGTGGAATGCAAATCAGGCCTTCATTACATGACTGAGAATGCCTACCCCAGTGGCTCACCTGGTTAAAGCACTTGCCTTTCAGTTCACCCTCCTGTGGAGGGGTCACTTAAGTCATTTAATACACTTCTATTGCAGCTTCTGGCTGGGATGGCCTGCACCCAAAGGGCAGGCCATCATAGGGCAGGGCAGACTGTACAGCCTGTGACAAGTATTGCAGCATGTTAAGCTTTCATCTAAAATTCTGCCATTGACCTGTAAGCACGTGATCAAATGGAAGGAGAGCAGAAGGCAGGGTAAGTATATAATCTGCAGCGGATGAATGAGTCATTGATCTGGTGTTCTGACTGCCATGCTGTGTCTTCCCCAGCAGACTACCCATCCACAACACATCATGGGCAAGGATCCGCTGCGTGTCTGCGTGACTGGCGCGGCCGGCCAGATCGGCTACTCGCTGCTCTTCCAGCTGGCTGAGGGCAACGTCTTCGGCGCCGACCAGCCTCTGATCCTGCAGCTGCTCGACATCACGCCGTGCCTGCCGGCGCTGAACGGGGTCGTGATGGAGCTGCAGGACTGTGCTCTGCCGCTGATCCATGACGTTGTTGGCACTGCTGACCCTCTTGTAGCCTTCAAGGACATAGACGCCGCCTTCCTGGTGGGTGCCATGCCACGCCGTGAAGGCATGGAGCGCAAGGACCTGCTGGCTGCTAACGTCAAGATCTTCAAGGAGCAGGGCAATGCCCTGGACCAGGTGGCCAAGAAGTCGGTCAAGGTGCTGGTCGTCGGCAACCCGGCCAACACCAACGCGCTCATCTGCTCCAAGTACGCGCCTTCCATTCCGCGCGAGAACTTCTCGGCGATGACGCGGCTCGACCAGAATCGCTCTCAGGCGCAGATCGCCGCCAAGCTGGGCGTGCCCAACAGCGCCGTGCGCGGCTGCATCATCTGGGGCAACCACTCGTCGACGCAGTACCCGGACGTGGCGCACGCCGAGGCCGAGGTGGGCGGCCGCTGGGTCAAGGTGCCCGAGGCGGTGGGCGACGAGCAGTACCTGCGTGGCGAGTTCATCACCACCGTGCAGAAGCGCGGCGCCGCCATCATCGCCGCGCGCAAGCTCTCGTCGGCCATGTCGGCGGCCAAGGCGGCATGCGACCACATGCACGACTGGTTCGCCGGCACGCCGGCCGACCGCTTCGTCAGCATGGCCGTGTTCTCGGACGGCTCGTACAAGACGCCGGAGGGAGTCATGTACTCGTTCCCCGTCACCATCGCCGCCGGCCAGTGGAAGATCGTGCAGGGCCTGAGCATCGACGACTTCGCGCGCGAGAAGATGGACGCCACCGGCAAGGAGCTGGTCGAAGAGCGCGAGGAGGCGGTGGCCGCCTGCGCCTGAGGGCGCGGCCGGGCCCTCAGCGCCCTCTAGCCGCGCGGCCGGCCGGTCAGTCCGCTCGGGTGCGCGCGCGGCCCGCCGGGGGCCCGGCGACACTCGCCGTCAGCAGACGCGCGCCATCAGGTAGCTGCGGTGTGTTGGGTAGGCCGGCCGTGCCCGGCCGTCGGCGGCGTGCAGTTGGTCTGCCGTGGTACCAGCCTGCCACCGCGGCTTTACCCTGTGACGCGCGCCTACGGCGGCGGTCCCCGGAGTCATTTTTGTTTTGGTAGTGGGATATATGCTGTGGGTTCCAAGAGACGCTGCTAGTGCCAGGGTCGAATTTAGTTGACGAATTGACCAATCTGTAACCACGTCCGAACTGAGGTCGTCAAGCACATCGTTTCCTATTGCAACTGTTGTTCAGATCATGTCGGCCCTTGGTGGACCAGCAATACACGAATACAAGAATTCGTAATCTACGTTGGTGTTCCACTGCAAGCGCCATACAACGCCGAAGCCAACCTCTGAGCCCGAAAATCTTGTGTGTGTCGGTGCGGCACCTTTCCGGACACATGATACATATGGTGGGCTGTGGGTCGGACAAACATAGAAAGAAAGGCGGAGACCGGCCATCTTCGACGCCCTGGGCATGACGCCATATCCGCAGCATGATGTGCGAGGGAAGGACCCGATGCTGGGTCCCATCAGCACTCGGGTGGCGGCCGCAGCGCAACTGTCTAGGGAGCAGCTCGCTTTCCTCGACGGGGGTGTGCGCTCCTAAAGGGCACGCAAAGCTACAACTTGAAACATGTGTCGACCGCCGGCTAACTGCGCACAGGCGCCACGGACGGTCCGCCACATGTGGCGCGGCGTTTAACGGGCAGCGCGGGGACCAGCTGTTGGCATTCGGAGAGCCCTGTCATCTTACCTCATGTGAAGGGGATGGATTACGGAGGATCAATGCTGGGTGGAGAAATCCACTTGAAAGATATCCTGATCAGGGATGACTGGGAGATGCATGCGGCACGCTCGCGGTACGGTGCAGACTACAAAACATCGTGCACGGAGACCTACCCCCCGCGCTAAACCCTAACCCCGGCGAGACATACATACATACACACACATACACACACACACACACACACACACACACACATATATATATATATATATATATATATATATATATATATGTATATACAAATTCAGATGATGCAACGGACGAATATATATATATATATATATATATATATATATATATGAATTATGTCGGACGAATATATATAAATTCGGATAAATTCGGATGATGAAAATAGCCAATCTCCGGTGAATCAGCAGGGACTGGTTGAAGGACGTCATCAAGCAATTCTTTTAATTGCTGGATGTCGTCGTTTAACGGGTAACTCTCGGTATATTGTTGGTTATTCTCAAAATTCGAGGTCTGGCCAAAGAAGAGAGCTAGAGGTCTTCCTTGTTCATACAGATTAAAAACGGGCTCTGATATCCGTCGTCTCTTCAACTTTTGATAAGGTGTTGATTACAAACAATGCGTACTCTCACGCAGCAACTGCAATGTATTTCTGAAATTTTGCGCGACAGTTGACGGCTCGGAGAATACCCAAAGGCCGACACCAAGTCCGTGTCGTGGTTCCCCGCACAAAATGTCATTTATGAATCGCATGCCCTCATTCCAACTTAGCCACCGTGCAACCACAACGATGCATACAAAGCCATCTTCCAATGAAGTCATGTAAGAAGTTATAAATCAGTTGATACTCGACATCTTGCCATCCAACAGACATTTGCCAGACCTGATGGTCGCTTTCAGTGCTATGGCGTATGCCGCGGAATTGTCCATCGCGACATTCCCAGACGAAACACAACATACAGCCCACGATAAACGCATCATATCAGATGTCATCTGAGAGTGTGCAGCCTGAGGGGAACTCAGCTGCACTTTGATGTCACATACCTTGTCATTTACGCGGGTCTAAACACTTTCAGGCAACTTGGGACAGACTTGTGCTTGATAAGATCCAGGACCCGAATAGTCCGATGAAAGACATTAGGTTTAGGTGAGTCATGCCTTGAGTTAGAGCATTTCAAAACGCTTGAATCAAAATCAAGAACAAATCTATCCCTTTCCTCTGCTACGGCTCTGAGCTAAATCAAACGACAAATGACTTCTTAACTAATTTATCATAATGAGAAGTTACAATAATTGCAACGCCACACAACACCGGTCCCGGCACAAAAAACCCGATGTACAAGAGCAAGCTTATCAAGGATCCGCGCAGCAGCATTCAGGTCACACTGGCAGACACTGCCTTGGCGGATTTAAATACCCACCATATCGTCATTATATCGTGACCTCCACTAAACTGTCGCGGAACTACATGTTTTACACCACTGGCACAAGACAGACAGGCACAGCTCACAGTGCGCAGTTAGCGATGACTGACAAACGCATCTCGTTGGAAAACTACACAACCATTCCCTTATATTGCCCCATAACATGAATACTGGCACGTGCTGTTCCTCAGTGCAGAACTGGGAGCAAATGGGAGCGCTGAAATATCAGGCAACACCGCCACCCTATGACTCAATTTTTGTGCCGACTGAACTTGTGACTGATCTAACACAGCCACGTCCCATTGCACCAGTTGCATCAATAAGTAGTTAGGGCGGCGGTGCGTGGCTTGGCATCCCACCCGCCCACACGCAACCCATCCCTGTGGATTGCTAACGGCGACAATGGCACGTTGCTCTGTGCCGTATGTATACAGGAATAGAAATCATGGCTTTTTGGCAATTGTGTTGCAACACAATTCTTGGTAAACGAACCCTTTATGTTTGACATATAGCTCGTGCGCATATATTTCTAAAGTTCTTAAGTGATATCTATGACGCATAAGCTCCTTGTATACTCCTCACAAAGCAACGTATTTCCTTCACACCGAGGTGCTTGCCACGGTTAGATGGCTTATGGTACCGTGGCACTTTTACTCATTTTGATCCAAATCAATGTGATTCAATCCTTGGTCCTGTCCCCCTTTTTCGTGAAACACAGTCAGAATCGGTATCAACAAGCAACACAATGCCTTGACCGAGAACTGACCTATATCACTTCTAGCAAAGGCATTTTGATTTCAGACATAACTCAGCTCCCCAAAAGTTTCGGATCAGATTTGATTGCAATATCGTAAAGGTGAATCGGGGACCAGTCTGGACTCAAGAGCTGTTCTGTCCTGTTCTACTCTGTTCTCCATTCGACGTAAGTCCGGCGGTGCCATGCTGCTGTACCCTCGTTCAGCCGACGGCCCCGAACCTGCCGGACGACCCTCCCGGCCCGGCTCCGCTGCCGATCTTCACACCGCCTCTGCCGTGACCTCACGGTCCGCTGCAGCCCCCTGCGCTTCGGCCGCCCCCTCCGGCGCCTCTGCGCCGTCGTCATCGCTCTCCCCGTCGGCCGGTGCGTGCGCGGCGGAGGCCGGGGACTGCAGCTGGTGCAGCTGGTGCAGCTGGCCGCTGCGGCTTAGCTGGTGGCGCAGCACGGCCAGCAGCGCGGCCGGCACCAGCAGGCTGGCGGCGCCCAGCAGGAAGACGAGCCCGTGCAGGTGGCGCCGCGTGGCCGGGTACACGCTGTTGTAGACGAGCGAGCCGAACAGCGAGCACAGGCTCTCGATCACCATCACCATCGAGAAGATGCGGCCTGCACGCGACCGGCCAGCGTCAGACGGGGCCGCGCGCCGGGCATAACGCCAACACGGGCACGTGACAGTCGGTTCAATTCACGCCGGCACACCTGAAGATTTGATGAAGATTTAATGGAGATGAGCTTTAATTTTCTTTTGACCTGGATTAACCCTCGACCGCGTGTTGTAGTGCCGAGACCCTCCCCTCTCCTCCCTGGCACACACTGCGGGGCGCTAATCGGTAAATGTGGCCACAGCGAAGGCTCGTGAGTTGTCAGATGGTCAATATTGCATATTTTGTAACAGAAAACCGCATTGTCAACGAAACGCGCCACATCGGTCAACTAATTGAAGACGAATGCATGCGTCCGCACTAGGTTGCAAAAGCTTCCTGCACTGGAAGCAAATAAGGCGAGCAGTAGTCTAGTAACGCTGACCAGAGTATCGTCATTCACGGCATGATATTTACGGACACGCCGGTGACCTGATCGACTGACCCGATTGACCTGACCTGATCATCTGGCCTGATTAACTTGATCAACTGACCTGATTGATCTGATCAAGTGACCTGCTTGACTCGATCCACTGACCTGATTGACCTGATCCACTGACCTGACTGACCTGATGAGCCGACCTGATCTTATCTGACTAGCATGATCTGACATCACCTCAGTTTGACAACGAACCAAAGATAACTTGTGACCATTTGCCTGATGCAAAAAGGGACTACAAGGCACCTCACACAAGATTGTCCCTTTTCCTTCACACCAGTCCAAAGGTCCTCACGGCAAAAACTACGCCCGCTGAAGGATACGCTGCCACTTGCAAGCCTTCCTTGTTATTTGTGTGTTCAGTTATCTGTGATAGCTTGGGTCACATAAGTGTACTTGCTGAGAAAACCGCGTACCAAACAGATTAAATGTAACGATCGGCATTCGAATCTGTCCTATCTGGCCGTTACACCCGGAGCTACAATGGCAAGTGGTCCAACCCCATGCGATCACGTATAGTACAGCATTCCAAGTGGTGCCGGGTCGCGATACGTTCAACGGAAATTTGAATAGCATCACAGAACGAATGGACAGGTGATAACAGGCGAGAGGCGAATAACCATACCACAACCTCTGACGTGAGACTAAAGCGCATCGAACGCCACGCGCCGGCGCATAGCGACCCCGACTCGAAGTAATCACGAGCAGGACAGGCACGCTGCCAGGAGCCAACCCGCGGCCTCGTACCTTGCTCGTTGTCTTCCACCAGTTTGGAGAGCATGGAACGGATCGGCGGGATGCAGAACGTGTTGAGGATCATCACCAGCGGCGCTGAAGCCGAGGCGAACGGTTAACGGGCGCTCCACTGGGCACGTGGCGCTTAACAATGGCATACATATTGGGAATAACAAGTAACGCATAATCGTATGTGCGTTCATCTTAGCTGAGCATAGTACGTTTACGTTAAGAAAAAGGCAACACATAATGCTCAGCAACACAACGCATCCGAGATTGATTCGCTTCAGCAGAACACCTAACGGGCTATCTCACCACCACGCAACTCCAAAGACGGCATCTCCTCGCGCCAATGCGGCTTCAGAAGCCCACTGATAATCGGAGACCACGGAACCAACGATTCATGAACCCGCGGGGGCCCCTCGACGCGCTCTCCTGCAATACAGCTTCAGTCTACGGCGCAGCGATGTACCTATGAAGAGCATGGCCTTATTGACGGCGAACCCGAGCCAGATGAGGCCGAGGATCTTCGAGGTGAGGCCCAGTCCGGACAAGGCGGTGTCACTCAGCGGGAAGTAGCGCCGCGACAGGGGCATGCCGACTGAAATGCGCCCGCGGCACGCCGGGTCAGGTCACCACGGCACGGCACGGCACGGCACGGCCAGGCGGGGACGGATCGGCTGCAGCTCGGTCAGCTGCGCCGACCAGCGCGTCCAATAGGTGGTGGTGAAAAGCCCCAAATAAAATTGGCTTAGCTACCCGTTTGTGAATTAAACAAAGGGCCGACTTGCTGTTTCTCAGCATTTTGGCTGAAACTGACGTTATGTGTTCCTTGTAAAGTAGTCGATAACTGCCTTTCCAGCAAAGATAGGACCTGTTTCAGAAATCCCAGTCTATCAACTTTTTTTCAAATGTAGACCCAATGTTTAAGAAATGTTGCTTTAGATACATATTATATATATATATATATATATATATATATATATATATATATATATATTTAGCAAAAACAAAGAACGTTCACGCAATGTTTGCATTCTCCAGGTGCTGTTTATCTGGTTCACCTACTTGGCCTCGGAGGACGTATTCTCTATCTAAATTTTTAGCACTCTTGGTGCAGCAGGATGTCTTTTTTAAAGCAAGGAATGAGTACCCACTCTTGCATTGGTGAGGTGGGCCTTGTGTAATGTACCTCGTATTCATTCATTGCGTACGACAAACTTCTTCCATCAAAAGAGATTTCAGGTCTTAATACTACGTCTCACCACAGTCGTAGAAGTGATATGAATCCGGAACAGATGTTTCCCACATTTAAAAAAGGTTCAGGAATCATTTCATTTCTGCAGCCGTGGTCAGAGAGCCTCACGGCCAAAATGGCATTGTGATTTATAACAAAATGCATGCACAGGGCTAAATTATGAGTTGTATTATTGAAAAGACCATCTTACCGAAACACGCAAGATCCAGGGCAGTGCGCACGTAGCGACCGCAGGGGACAATTGCTCCCACCTTATACGATCTATTACATGCATTAGCATGCGCTTAAATGAATACTCACACGAAAAATGTATACACGTCAAACTAAGCTTCAAATTTTCATAAACTTAATACATGTAGCAATAAGGATATCATGGACGTGCCATATTGTTTTAAGCCATGTAACAATTTTGGTGCACCTGTGACCCAGTGAACTATGTTTCCAGTGACAAACTTCGAGTTGCACTCCCCCCGCCCCCCCCCCCCCCCCCGGCATCGCGAGATGCTACCTGCGCCCCGGGGACACCACACACTCTGAGCTTCAAAGAGATTTCCTGTTCCTGAACAGTTCTAGAAATTTCAATAAGGAAATGCCTCTCCTACTGGCGAAGTATTTTAAACCAGGTCAGCAGCCCTTGGAGGACGCAAAAAACTACCCGGGCTTTCTTATTAGTGCCAGAGATACGTTTGATAAGCAGTTGAGCTTTCAATGAAAACAGCACGGTGTAAGCTTTCCAAAAACCGGGCCCACCTTCGCTGAAAAGCAATTTCTAGACCACTTTAAAAGTGACATAAATCCGTTGTTTTCTTGCCGACATGCGGAAAACAGCCAAAATCGGCAGATTTTCAAATATACAAGTAGGTGACTGAATCAATTTTATTTAAGAAAAATTCTACGGTCGCTTTCGTCTTCGTAGAGAGCAAAAGAAAACACTCAGCTCCACGAAATCATGAATCACATTTTTTTATCACAACGTATTGTCCAGGAACAGACCTTTTTATATCTACACGCGCGCACGCACGTGCGCGCAATTAACAGTTTCAAGGGATTCGAAGAAAGATGTGCGGTGCAATAAATGCAAGAACACTTACTTAGAAGGGCAGCCGAGGAAATTCCATATTTATAAGCAAAATAGGCGAAGTACGTCGAGTCTTCCACAGCTAACGGTGCATCTCGGACGAACAAGTACGTGGCATGCATTTCCCCTGAGGACAAAACAAACACACGGACTCACAACTGACGCACACGGATGTCCAAGTCCCAAACCCAAAAAGCCAGCTGAAGCCAAAAGCGACGACCCGAAGCTCAAACCGATCTCGGCTGCTTCCCTGGGCTAAATACCATGTTACAACTCAGGTCAAAAATACCGTTCTGAAACATCGGCGCGATGTCCACGACTGTTGAGGAGGTCTTTGATTACGGCGAAAAAACTTAACCTGGACAAAAACGCCTCCAACCTGCGTCGACCGCCTGACTGCGGTGGGGAGACAGCATGGACGAAATGCAACGTTATCGGTACTGAAGGGCAGGGGGGGGGGGGGGCGGGGGGGGGGGGGGGGGCGGGGGGGGGGGGCAACTGGACCACCACATTATGGTTGCCGAGATCACGAAAAATGCATTACACAAACTTGACAACCCGACATCTAGGCAAGCCGCTCATACGCAAGGTGAGATGGTGATGCCGAACCGAACCCAAGACAAGATAACGACATGCCGAGGTAAGTTGATAGTTCTGATGTATAGGACGCGACGGGGCTCACTTCAAGACGGCAAATAAAAACGCGCCAAGCCGAAACAGCACATTGCCCCAGTCTGCGACCAGCCATAAACACGACCCAGTCTGGTCGACGCGTTTTGCTCGCAGTTTGCTTCCAGCAGCCCCTTGGCTAAGGCTTATGAAAACTGATAATTAATGCTAATCACTTTTCTATTGTGAAAATGAACGACACGGCAAGAGCCCAAGCCGCACTCCAGCTGTGACCAAAGGCACAAATGATTTGATTTGGACAAGCCCGTGGCCTTTTCTTTGAGATCCGAACGGCAGCACAAAAGCAGGGTGCCCGAAATGTGGCATGACATCTGATAGCGACATAGCTCCCGATACATCAGTGCGTAACGCCTCAGGCGCGCTGCGACACTCCCTGACGACTCGAGGCCCCACAAAGCACGCGCACGAAGGGACGAAGCCAAACGGACACCGCAAGCCCACCGTCACAAAGAAGGCCTGGGTTCAGACTGGAGGCGCCGGACGACGAGACGGCTGACGGGACGCGGCCCCGGCCCCCGGCGGCGGGCGGGCCGCGACCCGAACCCCTTCGCCACTCACTAATCAGCGTCAACGAGCCGACGGCGTACTTAAAGCTAAAGTAGGCATTGTACGCGCTGTCGGCGAGCTGGAGCGGCGCGTCCTTGATGTAGAGGTACGTGACGTCGTTCTCGCCTACGCCGCCGCCACACGCGTCAGTGCCGGGTCGGACCAGTGACCGGGGCGAGACGCGAACGCTCGACAACAGCAGCTCGGCATCCGTATTACGACGCAAAAAACAACCGCTCGATCCACGACCATCGGGTTTGCTGGGATGACAACCATCTCGTGCACGTGTTTCACTGTGTGGGATACAAACGGACGGGTGTTCTTTCGGATAATTACAAGCCTTAAAACAAGGTAACAACAGTGAGGCCAAACACACTACAGCGCACTAGCATTCCGACCAGCCTCTGATAGCTCTGACTGATGGTGACGCGCATTAACATTGCACCATCTGACCACGGCTGCAGCGCAGGCTGACCTGATGAGTTGAGCATGATGACAAAGCTGGACGCCAGCAGCATCAGGATGTAGCGCCTGCGACGGCCTTCGCGTGACCTCACGCTCGTCAGGATGGCGTCGAGAAGGTGCCGCAGACTGAACAGCTGCAAAACAGCAGACGTGCCAGATCGCAGCCCGCCTGCTGACCGACAGCAGACTCGTCGCATCGCGCCAGGTGTCGAATAACAAACACTGAGCTCACCCTTTCGGAGCCTGCCGACCGAACCAGATGGGACCAGTCTCTGCACCGGGTTATAAACGATACATGTACCCATCAGATGATCAGAGTACAACCGCGACCGATCAAGACATGCGACCAGCCGGCAGGTCTTTGACGGTTACGTCTGCACGTTCGATGCGCTGGAACTCCGTACAGCTCAGCGTTTGCTTCGAACGTGATGAACAGCTTCTGACATTATACATTTCAATTTCAAAACTGCTTAGCACCCAAACAGGAAAAATCGGATGCATGCTCCGCAATCCTGTCCAGTCGTGGGATAGGCCAAGCCTGAGACGGGGAGGAAAAAGGTTGATTGAAATGGTTGATTGAACAAATGCATATCAGAACCCCATCAGATAATTTCAAGCAATAAATGACACTAGCATCAGACTCATTCACGACACACGCAGTGTGACTGCTGACACAGTTCAGCCACCCAGTCCCCTGTCCAGCCGGCCTGCTCCCTGCCCAGTCCGTCTGCTCCCTGTCCTGTCCGTCTACTCCCTGTCCAGCCAGCCTGCTCCCTGTCCAGCCCGTTTGCTCACTGTCCTGTCCGTCTGCTCCCTGTCCAGCCCGCCTGCTCCCTCCCCTGTCCATCAGCTCCCTATCCAGCCCGCCTGCTACCTCTCCTGTCCGTCTGCCCCCTGTCCAGCCCGCCTGCTCCCTCTCCTGTCCGTCTGCTCGCTGTCCCGGCGTCTGTGCAGTGTCACGCAGCTTATCTGCGGTCCCCTGGCACACCTGTATCGGTTCGGACCCGTCCGCACGTTCACCGTCCTCACCTGGGTCAGCGTCTCGCACAGCGAATCGGCGGCGGGTGGCGGGCACGGTGGCGGCACCTCGCGCACCAGCAGCACCACGTACAGCACGATCGCCACGTTGATGATCAGCAGCGCGCAGAACGTCCAGGTGCGGCCGGCCTGTTCGAACACCAGCGAGCCGACGAACGGGCCGATGAAGCCCCCAAGCAGCGACATGGCCTCCAGGACGCCGACACGCGCCGTCCGCGCGCCCGTCGCCGTCACCGCCGACAGGTACGACATCACGACCAGGATCATGCCGGCGAAGCCGCCCAGCGCGCCTGCCGACGCCGAGCGGATCGGTCAACCCGGTCCGCTGCGCGCGCGCGCGCCACGCGGGAGCTGTGGGGGTGTCGTGGTCACCGGCCAGATCGGTCGGCTCGGTCCGCTGCGTGCGCGCGCGCCACGCGGGAGCTGTGGGGGTGTCGTGGTCACGAGGCAACGCGACTTGGACCGGGCGGCTGGCCAAGGGCTTGCTGTGAGGTCTAAAATGATGTTTACTCGCGTGCAATAGAGCCTCCCTCACTAACGTTCCCTTTTATGTAAACTAACTGTAGGGTCTGTTTCACATTGCTCCCTTTTCTACTCCAGGACTGAGGACACGCAATAAAAACTCAACAAACGTGCAACACGCCTAACACAAGAGCAATGAATGCATGCATGCATTTCGATGGCTTCTCTGCGTGATTGCCATTACATCCCACTACTGGCCTAAAAAGCCGGGGCTTCCTGGGAACGTCATGGCAGTGCAGGATCGTTGTGGGATTTCCTACATCTACTCAGCACAGAAGTTTACATACCTCATTCGTGTAGCTAACTCCTACGCCACTGCACATGAAAGAGCATTTCACTGCCAGCAATCCAGTCCTTTCTATCATCGCCGACAACACACAACGCAAATGCAAGCCTTCTACTGCTGCATTGGACGAGGCAGGGGCACCCAGACTGAAGGGGATGTTCCACATTTGAAGATATTGAAGCAAGCATCTGATATGATGGAATCAACTGACTTATAGCTATTGGTATATGCAAATGGAAAAGACCGTTCTAGACGAGATGATTTCTCTGTTTAGTTGATGTACTTGACAATGGGTCATCTCATTACAACATCATACCTTGCACAACATTCAATGAGAGCTAATCGACGGCCGGTTTGTTTGGAAACCGTGCTCACGAATGTCAGATATGAACGAATCGATCATGGTATTTTTCTCGGCTTTGAACGCCACATGGCCAACGGAATGACAGGATTTGAATGGCCTTATCATGGAACTGTGGATGCCTGTAGACCTCAAATAGTCCCCCGAAATAGTTTGCACATCTTCGCTAGCGTGTAACGCATAAACTAGAGCGGTTTAGGTCTTAATAAGGTCACGCACGTCAATTACACCGAATGATCTTCAAGATGGCTATTTCCGTCTAAAACCCGACACGAGCGTGGAGCACTCCTCTCAAGAGAAACGCCTCCTTTCTCCCCTACCCCTTCCACTCTCTGTCCACTTCGTCCTCTGACCTGCAACTCCGCTGGCCAGTATGACCAGGTCCACGGGCGCGGCCCGGTACGCCCGACATGACCATGAAGACGAGCGCCGATAAAATCTGGCCCAGCGGCGGCAGCAGCAGCGGCACCTTGCGGCCGAACACGTCACTCCAAGTACCGATGTAGATGCCGCTGATCACCGACGGCACTGCCAGTGCCACGTTGGACAAGAGCATCCAGTAAGAGGACTGGTCCTGGACCTCGTCCTCCTGAGGCTTGTGCTCGGCCAGGTCCAGGGTGTCGCACACGTACGAGCTGTACCTCTCTTGGCATACCTGCAGTCACCACACACGCGATGGGAGCGATCAGTGACACGACATAGTGTTGCACTACCAACAGCTCTTAATGACATACAACGATTTGTTTGCATTTAATGAGATGGTGCACACACAGAACTGTTTCCAAGCAACATCCGTAATGGCTGTCGAATGTCATCATGGCTGTTTCCTTGACGTTTGCCCACGGTTCCCTCTTTCCGCTGAAATGTCTGTCTTCAACATGCAACCTATACCACCCGTAATGCATTCAGTGTGTTACTTGAGGAGCAGTATCCATTCGGTGGTTTGCAGACGTAGCGTACCGCAAGCAACTTGACCTGATCATCTGATTGTGATGCTTATTGTCTCTGCGTACGCATGTCCTTTCAGCGTTCCTTTTACGCTAAAATGCTTGGGCTTTCAGACGTAACAAAACACAACAAAAACGATGACCACAAAATAGATGAATAACGGAATTTCTAAATAAAAGACGATTAACAAAAAGATAGAAGACAACGTAGCGCAGAACTCATGGACCGCTGTCGGTTTGGAGGACATGACAGTACCACAACAAACAGCTGACCCTTATCGGCATGTACGTCTCGTCGGCAGGTCGCACATACTGGAAGAGCGCCCATGTGCAAACAGATCCGAAGTGACCAAACATACTCGCATGCACGCGTTGTGTTCCGCGTAACCCGTCGTTTTTAACAAGATGCTGGCCTTGTTTATGTTTGATATGCCATGTTTATGCTAAATTTATGCTACGTTTATGCTAAACGTTTAAATGTACTTTCGGCGGCAATTAGGCATGCATGAAACGTTAAGAGTCGGAGTTTGTATGTTCCAATAACGACCTTCAACATACCAGGAGGTACTAGTCGGTGACATTGCAATAACGCCATTTAACTGATACCCCCTGGTACAACGAGTGTCGTTAGCTCAACATTCATAATGCCGAAAAACCATGAGCTGAAGACATTTCTTTCTTATACAAAATGCGTGAAGCCGGCATGCAAGTGACCGCACGACAGTCGATCCCAGTCCAGGACGGCGCCACATGCAGAGCTTCCGCCAGCCGCTCGAGCGCACGCTCACCTTGGCGTAGATGAGCGACTGTAGGGCCGTGTACTGCATGTACGAGCCGACCATGAAGAGGAAGAGCACGGGCTCCACGGTGACGGGCAGGAGTGCGCGGCGCGCCGCCCCCAGCCGCCCGGCGGCGGCGGCGGCGGGGGGAGCCATCAGCCGTCGTCGACCGCACCCGGCGGTGCGTGGGCGATCTCCCCGCACGCCGCCGTCCGGCTCGGCAGCTATCGCCCTGGGAACACGGCCGGTGCGCGGTCACACAGACCGATCTCACCCAGCCTTGGGCCAGCTACACAGACAGCGCTGGCATACTGCCAGCATATGGGTATATGGGGCCACAGTTTAACAGTTGCATGTTCACTTGCGTCGAAACTTGTCGTTAGTCGCCGCAGAACACTTCAGATTTCCTGCCATCAGTGAACAGCGCAGTGTTTGCATCACTCTTCATCTCATCGGTTTGAAAATGGTTGGTTCCTCCAGGGATTGTTTCACACGTGTTAATCTACTTCTGAAGCAACAGCCATCAGTGTAAAGATGACTGTAGGGTCTAGTTTCCCACAACACACGGCGGAGAGTGACAGCTGCTTTATTTCACACCTGATATATATCAGCAGCAGATTGATGGTGCCAGCGGACCTCTGTTTAGTGTGACTGGAAGGCGTTATCACGCCCAGAACAGGCATAGATGATGCATCAAAGAAGGATGTAGCATTGAATGCTCCTACTATCCTTGCAACTAGTGCTAGTTGCACGCTAGCATTTTGAGCATCACCACTGATCTACCATGGCACCCAACAACAGCTCTTTGTTGGATCAATCTCAGAGCCCCATCAACAAATGCAGTACATGTGATGCGTAGGTTTGTCTCATCCCTCTTATCTTTATTCTATGGCACATCTTTACCAGACTTTACCATCAACATTTGGTTGATGCCAAATTGGCACAGTACCAGTTTCTATAAAAGCAACAAAACATGGTTTTCCTGTAGAAGCAGCACACAATTTTATGGCTGAACATTATCGCCATTGTTTCTCATGTATATTGATTCGCTAGCAATGTTAGCAAACATTTTGGAATGATTCCCAGCAGGCATCCTGCGTCTCCTATATTGTTCTCAATGACTTCGCATCTTGAAACCAAATTGTTAACCCTGCACTTATAGATATAATATAGGTATAATTATGACCATGGTGACGGTTCATTGCAATCCCCCCTGTCAGTAACACTGCACAGTTGTCATCTTTTGTATCACCTGTTGTCATACCAAGTAGGGGCAACACAATTCCTGCAAAACCTGCCTGCCCTGCATTCAGTGAGCTGTTACACATTCCTGCTCATCAGAAATAAGAGAAGATTCATAACTTGGACTTCTTTGATCACATGAAGACAGGTTAACTAAATCAGCAACCAAGGAGGCATCAAACACATGAGTAAACCTTGTTTTTAATAGCATAATGGACAAATTGAATGACTTATTCAAAAAATGACCAGAAATGCTTACGTTCTGGCACATTATTTCTACATTTCTTATATTGTCCTTGTGCAACATATTCAAAACTGGTGGGTTGCTTCCTTACCTTACCTTAACTTACGGTAATCGGGGAATTACAAAACGTCACTAGGCCTCTCGGTCCCGGTCTCGTCAGGCTTCCGGTCCGGTAACCAAACAGTCCCAAATTATGGGTAGATTCAGCGTGGAATGTCATGAATAATGTCCGCCCAATGCATATCAAGCCTAGACTTGAACTGTTCAATTGTGGTTGACGACACGACCGGGTGTGAAAGAGCACTCCATTCGTTGATGACCCGTGTGCTGAACGAGTTACGACAGACGAGAGTCCTAGCTCGAAGTTTTCTTAGTTTCCATTAGTGTCCTCTCGTCACCTCCGAGTTGGTCTTGTCAGAAACTCCTCTTCCGACAGCGACATACCTCCGTGAAACAGCTCGTACACTGTTGTCATGTCTCCCCTGCGACGACGGTAGTACAGGGAGGGCAACTGGAGGAGTCTGAACCTCTCAGGGTATGGCTGGTGCCTCACTTCATAGACAAGACGGGTAGCTCGTCGCTGAACCCATCCAGCCGCTTGTGGTCCAGTTTGCCGAACGGGCCCCAGATGACGTTGCCATACTCCAAGTAGGGACGTACGAAGATCTTAAAGGGCAATGGTAACGTGTGAGCATCGATGTTGGCAAAATACCGCCTCACGACCGCCAGCGTCAGGTTAGCCTTGGAGATCGCATCCACCGTCTCCACGTGGGACTTAAGCCTATAATCCACAAAGATCCCGAGGTCCTTCTCGGTGGACTCGATCGCAACTTCGGCGCCATCCAAGAGGAAGGTCAGCCTCGGGTTGCAGTTCCCGATGTGCATTATTTTGCACTAAAGGGAAGCAGTCACTCCTCTGACCACTTGGCAAGGGCGTCCAGGTCAACCTGAAGAGGTGTGTCAGTCCCGGGCCTCGGGACACGGCAGCAGACCTTGGTGTCATCCACAGCTATCTTGACCACGCTTCGCGCTAGTTCTGGCAGATCGTTCACGAAGATTATGAATAGCGTTGGTCCAAACACTGATCTTTGTGGGATGCCACTGACGACGTCGATCCAGTCCGACTTCGAGCCCTGGACCCGCACTGACTGGACACGCACTGACCGACTTCGAGCCCTGGATCCTGGACCCACGCACTCCCTGCATCCGGTGAGTAAGGGAAGCCCTGATCCGGCGGAGAAAATTACCTCTCACACCGTCAGCATGAAGCTTGGAGAGCAGACAATTATGAGGCACAGAATCGAAGGCTTTGGTTAATTCCAGGCACGCCACTTCCACCGGCTCTCCATCCTCTACTGCGGCGCCCCAATCTGTCATGACTTCTAATAGCTGGGTGATACAGGACTGCTTTGGGAGAAATTCATGCTAGGCTGCATGAAGAAGCCCCGACCCCGAGAAGTCATTAAGTAGGGTATCACGAACGAAAGATTCGAGTATCTTGGAGGGAATGGCAATAAGACCGACTGGGCTCGCTGGGGACTGCCGGTTACCTTTCTTAAAGGTCAGGACTACCTCGCCGAGCTTCCACTCCTGGGGGAGCCTTCCGGATGCCAACATTTTTCGGAAAAGCGTGCAAAAGGGTACTGCCAGGACGTCTGCGGACTCACGAAGAAGCCTTGGGTGGACATCGTCTGGCCCAGGGGCGCTCGAGGTCTTCAGAGCAACCAATTTATTTGCCACTGCCTGGGTAGAGATGTCCACGTCACCCATAAATGGTCCAGTAAAGATGCAAGGCAACATAGATGTAGCACTAGTCCACTCGTCCGTAAAAAACGTGCGAATAATTTATGGAGGACATTGGCCTTTCCTTCATTGCAACTGGTCAACATTCCAGCATAGTCAAGAAGATCTTCTACCCTGCATTTTGTGTGCAGTCTTGAGTTGGCATACCTTCAGAAGGCTTTTGGGTTTCTTTTGGGGTCTGCTACTAATTTCATCCCATGCTCTTTCTGAAGGTTTCCAGTCAACTTCCCAAGGCCATTGTGGCACCCCACAACCACAGTCTTTCCTTAGTCTTCTTTAGCTGCATGACCCTTGGGTTCATGTACCAGTTCTTCTCAGGTTTAGTCCTCTTGATGGAGCAAACCTCAGTAGTCCTGGTGATTCTCTCCTTGCAGAACTTGTAAGCATCCTTGAGGCTCAGGTTCTCCATCAGGGACCAGTCCATTAACCTGAGGGTGTCTGCCAGATGCTCATAATTTGTGTCTGTTAGCTGGCTGGGATGAGCAGTTTGCAGCCCAGAGAAGCAGACCAAAAAGCACCTGATAGCCATATGGGCACTGTTACTCAGGCCAATGAAGTATGCAATTTGATTCACCATCCTCTCTTCATTTGTGAAAATGAGGTCCAGAATGCTTAGACCTTCACCCACCTGGTAGCATCGTGACTGCTGGACATGCTGGAACAAAAAAACAAAACAGCCCTGGATGGTACCTTTCAGTGGTTGCCTCTTTGGAACTGATGAATGCTCTGTTCCCCAGCCAATCTGAGGCAAGTTAATGTTGCCTACAACCATCAAGTGAGAAAACTGAGCTCTACATGCTCTATGAACAAGGTCTTCCAATGGGCACACACTATCTTGGATATTGCCTAATGGACTTTTGTATATGCAACCAAGTATCAAGGCATCCTTCCCACTCAAGGCCATCTTCAGCTGCTTGTCCCTTTCAACTGCTTAGAACATGGTAGAATGACCAAGTATAGTAGACTTATGCTGCAAATGCAACATAACAAAATTGAAGCCATTGCTCTACACCCAAAATGTACTGATAAAGATAGAGGTTTAACATTATTCACAACTTATTGGAAAGCATTGGGAATAATGCCAGAATTACCCAGTCTGCAACATGAAACATATTTTAACAAGATTTCATTTGGGCAAGACTGAAGCAAGGAATGATAATGGTGGTGGGTTGGAAAAACTTGAGGGTAAAATTTTTTAACTGGGGCAACTCATCTAATGTTTTTTTGGGACATTTAATGGAAACTTGGGGTTGGTACTGTGCTGGGGCACAGGCTTGGTAGAACCATTAAGCACAATGCTTCATATTATGGAGACATGGGATCTTGTACCAAATGGCCCATAACTGATGATTAGCGCCCCTGGGTATTAAGTCAGCTCGAAAAACTACTACTTGTATAGCTTGGCAAGTAGCTCGATCAACTTCTTATCTCGCCAATTAGTTCCACAAACTGTGCTGGTCATCTCACCTGCCCAGAACCGGGTCTCCGCCAACAGGTCCAACGGGCTGTATTTCTGTAGTTCTCCGATTTCGAGTATTTCTATTATCTGTCACAGGTTCGAGCCCCGCGGGCTCCAGCCAGAATCATGCTCTTTACACATAATGCGATTTCATGCAGCCAGGACTCGGAAATGTCACTTACGCGGCACAAATGCAGCAGAAATTTTCACTCGAACACTCCTAATTTACGGCCTTCTCAGACATTGTCTGGAATTCTAGTGAAACGGGGCTCCATTTGAAGTTTCATCGTGCCTAATGCAAAACCACACTTTTCCAGTACAACTGACAATTTACCACTAGATTTGTTTAGCACGCTGGCTTAGCAAAGCAGGCAATGGTTTGGCGCCGTCAATGCCTTACACCGTTCCATGCCGTACAGGGGTCGCTGCCTGGGTGGCCTTCTCGGTATGCGAAACTAGTTACCTGGTTGTATTCAAGCTCATATCACTTTTAATTACTGTTTACTCTATATCATAGTTTATTAAGATCATCATAACGCTAAAAATGCGGCGGATAACTAGATTAGGCATTGCTGTGTCTCCATGCCTGAGTTATCACTTTGAGTGTCTTCGTAACATTGCTTTGAACGAAGCGCACGACCGGTAATTGGCTGTTAGAACTGCATAACGCAGTGTGTTCGGTAAATACGTTGAGTACCACTTGCGTAACAGTGCTTACACCGTTAACATTTTCAACGAAAGCCATGATTTTTCTAAAACTGCTTCTCTTTTCCATTCATATGAAGCATTTAGTGTTATCTACCTCGCTCTCCACACGGGTTCGCACGCACAATCATACAACATTGCACGCCAGCGCATAATCAGGTCGTCATATCCATAGCAGCTCTTCTCCCATGCTTTCAGGCCATGACACACTATTTCGCCAGGAAGCCAAAACGCCATCTGCGCCTGGAGTGGCAAAGTCGCCGACCCTCCCGTGGATGAACATATTACGGCACTCCCGCTCGAGATTCTCATTCACCCTTTCATCCTACCTCCAGTTTTATCCTGCATCCTCGTGATGGTCTGGTCGTGGTCTGGTCTGGTCTGATCGTGATCGTCTGGGCCAGGCTGTATGCGAGAGCTTATAATTGGATCGAAGTGCCCCCCAGATGGATGCTGCCACCCGAACGCCAAGCGCACGCCTCGCGGATCAGTCCCCAGGTGCGTGTTGAGGGATTATCGTGTGGCGGCACACGACAAATACGTATAAGCACGCACGAAGAATGTGTATGCATTTAATGCCGCTGATATACCGCTATCAGCTTCCAGTACACAGTTGCCCGATTCCGGCATTCGTTTTATTCCGTAGACTCTTCGCCAAACCTCTCGCGACGTTCGCTTCCCGGCCGCAGCAGTGATTTGCAATAACATGGCATCTTAGTCAAACACAATTTGTATTGTGCAACGGATTTGCAGCTTACATACTTTGGCCCGTGATTTAATTTCAGCAGAAATGTCGACAGGGATGTCATTTGCTCAGAGGAAAACATAACGTCTTTGTTCAAATAATCCTTTCTGTATCATCTGTATCGGTCGAAACCGCAACAGCGTATCTCTCAGTACATGCAGGGCCGACCGCAGCGGTCTTTTGCAAAGGCACGACGATACTTTGTAAATGCCATGTAAATGGCTCTTCGAACCACAAGACCTTTTTTTTCGTTCAAGTCATCCCTTTACAGCGCACTACAAAGGGTGGCCGTTCGACCAGCAGCGTAATGCCCAGAATACGACGGCCCGTGAAATACGCCTATAATCCGCATGAAAAGCGAGAATGTAAGTATTTTACTTAGCTAGTAGGACTATTAACTGTAAATAGAATGTTTATGTCCGAGTCTGGTTTCGATTTTATTCGACCGACATTTCCACAGCATCTCAATGAAGGCTGGCGACCAGACGCAACGGCGATTTGCTAAGTTGCAGCATAGAATTCATCACACTGTTATCAGGGATAGGTCTCTGCTGGTAGTTTTCTCGAAGTAGTTACTTGATCCCTTCTATTATTACGCTCGGCGGGTGCCATCACGTTTGCACAATGCTATTGTCGGAGGACTATCGGACGGCAAGGAACATCAACAATCGGGCCATAATTACCCTTTTTGTTGAAATCACCATTTACGGCGTATGTAACGTGTAAGTCGTGTAAGTGTGTAACCACGGCAGTACGTGCAACTGCGGCAGTACTGCGCCATTGTCAACGCGTCAGCCCGCATTTCCCTGTATGCTAATTATTAGATAAGCCGGATGCAATCACTCATAGCCGTCGTTGCTTTTTGCAAAGGTTGCAGCATAGCGCGCCTCTGCCGCTGCTTCATGCGGGCTTACATGCGCATTAGTATTGCATAACGCGGAAGGTTCTAGAACGCCCCATCCCCAGTGTTTGGAGGCCGAACGCCGGCGCCCACCAGCGGGCCCTCCGTTTATAGTCTGATGCATCCAGCGTAGCGTCGGACGGCGGTGACAGTCAGAGAGAAGCGGACGCGACCCGACCACCAATGTCGTAACGCTGCATTGCTTGAAGGGGACCTCGGACCGAACGTAACCAGCTTTTCACTGCCGTTCTCTGATGGACGTTGGTGAAATGAAGAACAACGCTCTGAAGACCGAAACGTTACACGCATTGCTTATGTCGGCCAACAAAGATGCGCATGTGTGCATTCGATGGTGCTGACTAGGGCAATAAGCTGCCAATGAACACACTCGCCCGATTCAGGTTGAATTTTACTTGGTCGACACTCCTACAGCGTCTCTCCCGATGCTGGGGCATGCCGGCGACAGCCATTTGCAAATTTACGGTGACCAAATGTAAATACTTTCAGTCGCGAGTGGCGGGTGCAACTATGTGCAAACTATGTCATTGTGGGATCGCTGTCAGCCGGCAACGTGTAATGCCCATTGTGCGACCTAGCATGCGTGCATTCAATATCGCTTGTGTAAGGCTATTAGCTGCCAGCACAGCAAGCTTCTCCGATTCGGGTTTCCTTCTTCGATGGGCCTTCTGACGGCGTCTTACGGAATGCTGGCGCCGTGCCACACCGGGGATTTGCAAAATTATGACGATAGATTTAGACATTTAGTCGTGCGCATCGCGTGACAGCCTGTGCACACGATGTCGTTGTGGGAGCATTTTTTGCCGACAATAGAAATCGCTCTTCGGCCCACGTGACCTTCGGCCGACGGCCTGTCGATGACATGATGGACAGAATACGGTGGCCAGGAACAATCCATATAACCGCTCGCAAAGAGTGTGAGTGTACGCACTCGATAGCCTCGCTACGGCGTTCTCAGCTGTGAACACATCCCACCTGTACGGTTACGGTATCTTTTTTATTCCGTGGATAGCCCGACAGGGTTCCCCGCTCAACAGCTCTGGCCAAGCGAATTGGCCTTTAGAAAATTTACGTCGTCCAAACCGGCGTTGAGAAAATTGACGTCGTCCAGGCTGAAATACAATTAGTTGTGTACGGAGGGTCCACCACGTGCAAATGATTTCATTGTTGACGCACTACCAGTCACCAATGTATGTTGCAACGTACTGGTCAAAACACGGCAGCACGGGAAAAAACTTATAATCCTGCACGAAGAGTGCGTTTGTGTGCATTAGGGTGCGCTAGGAGAGTCAAATCAGCTGCCAGTGCAGCGCACTTCCCCGTTTGGTGAAAATATTGATTCGGTCAACCACCGAGAGTGCCCCACCTCAATGCTGACGGAAATGCGCCAGTGGCGACCTACGAAGTCACGTCGTTTAATCTGAAATGCGTTTGGTGGTGCGCGTCGTGTGTCACCACGAGCACGCCATTTTGTGGATTCACGCGATGGGATTTTGTGAGCGCTGTCGGCCAGCAATGTAACCGCTCATCCGCCACGATCTCTTGGCGTAAATCATCCCCAGAAGGTGCATTGCTTGTAGTGGGCGACCTGCGCATAGTGTGATAGCCAGAACACGGCAGGCCGGGAAAATTACTTTTACTCGCGCGCGAAGAGTTAAACTGTGTGGATTTGATAGCGATGGCAGAAGGCTATAGCCGCGTGAATTTGGTAGCACTGGTATAAGACTACAGCTAACATCGCAACACATTCCTTCGATTAAGGAATCCACTGTATTCGGTCGAACTCCGATAATCCATCACGCAATGCTGACAAGACGGATGTAGAGGTCATATGCAAAGTTACGTCGCACAATTCAAATCGCTTTTCTTCATTCGCGGCGAATTCATTGTGGGATCATCAACAGCTTACGATATCAATCGCTCATCGTACGACGTAGTTGTTTTGTTCAAATAATCCCTTTAACACGCGTTGCTAACTGATACCGACCTACTCATAGCGTGGTGTTCAGAATATGGTAGCCCCGTGAAAGATACTTTGAATTGCGACTAAATAATGCAACTTTGCGCCTTTGCTGGCGCTAGTTTATGGCTGTCCGCTAGCTGTGGGACGCACTTGTCCGTTTTTTTTTTATCGCATCCGGTCGACCCTCTGCGTCTCACTCATTGCTGGCGGGACGTCCGCAAATGGCGATTTGCAAAGTTAGTGCGACCCGCACCGGATGCACACACCGTTCTTATCAGAAACAAGCAGACGTTTCTAGTTGACGCATATATCTTCGAACCGGTCAGGTAGATTTGAACGGCATGCATGATCACGTGCTTTGCGGCCTTATATACGAAACAACCCTTAAAATTCTGTCGGAGTGGAAGTTGAATATGCGTATGAATGGAAAGCAGATTCTAGAGAGCTTAAGATGAGCCTCCAACTTTCTAAAATATAACATTTGCCCCATGGGCGTTGGCTGAAGAGCAGTAACCAAAACACCTGTTTCCCCCAACTTTGGAAAACTTCTGTTGTCCCTGTGCGTATGCGGGAGCCTGCTAGTATCCTGTACTGGGTACTGATTGTAATTTTTTGTGCTTTTTTGCGCGGGTTAGTAGCACAGTTCTACGAAGAGTGTGTTAACAATGAAAGACCATCATTTGTTATGAGGCACAAACGCTGCCGCGTAGAACTGAAGAAGTGACAATCGACACCAACAAACAGCCAGTCATGAACCAAGCTCACACGGTCGCACGTGATACCCATGAGACTTCGCACACTTGCCAGTCCGGGGGTCCATATCATCGCGACCTTTAAGTGGCCGTGGCCAGACAAACTCTCTCAATTGTAGGGTAAATATAATGATTGGACCTCACTGTCGCTTAATGAAACTGACAGTACTTCATAAGTTGCATTTGTTTCAGCCCAAAAGAACGGCATCACAGATGCATATTGTGCTTTGCACCTCGGTCTGGCTATATGTTATTTTATCCACATGCCTCTTGGCGTTAAACATAGCACCGCACATAATGGTCAAGAGCCCAAAATCTGTGGCTGGACACTCATGATGATTGTACAGACAAGTAAGGACCAAGCACTGTCGGCCCGTTGAGAGGGTACGGACCGTGCACGGCCGGCACCGGAGATAAACTTAAGACAGCACACAATGGGCTCGCTGGTCCCGTACACTGTCGCGAACAGTTTGTGTGTTTGAGTTAGAATACGGGCCGATGTTTATGCCTCCTGATTGTGAATAAGTCTCATGTGTGCGTCCTCACTTTTGATGTCATTGCAGTTTTTAAGTTTGCTGCATAGGATTGCAAAGCACATCATCATAATTGCCATCAAGCTCGACGTAGTCGGCTCGCTTGTCATATGCACTCTTCTTGAATGTCTTTTACATGGTCTGTACGAATATTTCAGTGTTCCAGCTGCCGCTGAGCACTACATCCGAGGCCTGATAACCCGCAGCACATTGAAGCCTTGGATCCAGTGACGTCACGATAAGGCTAGGCGAAGGTGAAGAGAAAATCACCGAACGTGTTTACCTTTCCTATGCGGCTTTTTCACAGGAGAGTGCTAATTGAGGTGTGTTGTTAGTTATGTCGGGGGACGGCTTGGGGGAATACTTAAAGCAGGTGGGTAAGGTGCAAGCAGGCGTTATCCTGGTAGACGGCGCGAGGGAGGTACTCGGTGGAGCTAGCCCGGAAACTACACACCTGGGACTAGGTTGTGAAATGCTGATTAGGGGTTGCAAATGGCGAATTTGACTTTCTTTTCATCTCTAAGCTTTCGTAAGCAGGCTGTGCATGTGGAGGCAGTTGATAGTAAAATGACCTTATTTTGCTGGATAAGATTCACCAGGCAGCACAGCCTTCTTTATATGCAACTGACATATTGTATTTTGAGTCCCATTGATCATGTTTGTTGCAACCATGGCTTTTTAAAACGTAAATCATGAGCAAAAAAACTGGGATGCACTAATATCAGTGATCTACCACCCCCAAGTGAGGTGTTGTGTAAAACATATGATATGGGGTGTAGAACTCACCAGCACCTGCAAAATTGGTATCTCCAACAGCAGGCTTCACACTTCCTGAAATGGGCTGCATCAACTAAATCAAGTGCACAAACTATGTGATATTGGTGACAGTTGATGTACCAGAAGTTGTGAATGCATCTAGCATGTACATCTTACTTTTGTGCCATGTCATGACAATAGATGACATTTTCCTTCAGTCCCATCACTCACCCAGTTCATATAAAACCTTGCATGAAGTTTGGGTGTGGCTGTTGGTTGTTTATGTGAGGGCAAGAAAAGCTGCTAACACTTCCAGCTGATTGCATGATGTTGCCACAAAACCACAGAATCACTTTCAACCTGGTGATGGTTACATGCACACCTAAGCCCAGCTAGTCCATGGGTGCTTCTCACCATCCAAGTGGTGCCCAGCAGGCACAACCAAGTGGGATGAAACAGGACCACACAACCCCAACAGAGCTGAACCAGACCAGACGGAACCAGATGGAACGTCATCAAGGAAGACGGGACCAGACGGGACCACTCCAGACCAAACCGGAATGAACCGGTTGGAACCAGAAGAGACAGTACCGGATGTAACCAGACGAGATCTGATGGGACCGGATGGGACCGGACGGAACTGGACAGGACCAGATACGATTGGATAGCGGGAGTGCACTGGACTGCAAGAGACTAACCAAACTGGGTAGGATCAGACGGCACCTAACATAACCGCAAGCAACCGTGTATGATAGAACGGAACCAGACGGAACCGGACGGAGTCGGACGGAACCGGACGGAACAGGACAAAACCAGACGGAACCGGCCGGACAGGACGGAACAGAGCGGAACGTCATGAAGAAAGGTACCGGATGGGACAATACTAAACCAGATGAGGCCGGACGATACCAGACCAGAGGCGACCGGATGGAACCGGACGAAACCGCATGCAACCAGATAAGACCGAACGATACCGAACGTAACTGAACGGGGCCGACCGGAACAGAACTGGATCAGACATGACCGGTGCGAGCCGGAAAGGACTTGACGGAACCGGACGAGGCCAGACGCAGACAACCTGGACCACATGATGCTAAATTTGGTCAGACAGGAGCGAACGTGACCGGACGAGATCAGATGGTGTCGGACGGCGCTGGATGTGACCGGATGAAGCGGGGCGTAAGAGAGCGGGACCAGACGGAACAGGATGAAGCGTGATGGGGCCAGACGGGACTGAATGAAACCAGATCGGACTAGACAGGACTCGAAGGGGCTGGGCGATACTGGATGGAGCTGGACAAGACCTGGGATTTGGGACCGGGTGGGCTGGATGGAGCCCGACGAGATCAAACAGGACCACACGCGACAGGGTGCCATCGAGTGGCAAGGGAACTAATAAAGAGGAAGCGACGGGACTGGACAGGAACCGACGGGACCGACTCTGGAACGGGCCGGATCTGGCGGGGCCCGTCTGGTCCCGTCCGGTCCCGTCTAGTTCCGTCTAGTCCCGTCTGGTTCCGTCAAGTCCCGTCTAGTCCCGTCTAGTCCCGTCTAGTCCCGTTTAGTCCCGTCTAGTCCCGTTTAGTCCCGTCCAGTCTCGTCTAGTCGTGTCTAGTCCCAGCCACTCCCGTTTGGTCCTGTGTTGTTCTGTCTAGTCCCGTCTGGTCCTGTCTGGTCCCATGTGACCTCATTTGGTCTCATCCTGTCCGTCTCGTCCAGTACCGTCAGGTCCCGCCCGGTCCCGTCTGGACTGGGCCGATCCTATTCGGCTCCGCCCAGCTTTGTCCAGTTTTTTTTTCTAGTCCCATCAAGTCCCATCCTTCCGTCCGGCTGTGCCTGGTCTCGCACTGCCGAGTCAGGTCCCGGGCGGCACTGCCCATTCCCGTGTCACATTGCCCGGTCCGGACCGGTCTCTTCCGATCTTGCCCGGTACCGTCTGGGTTCATCGCGTTCCACCCAGGGCCGTCCGGTCCCGTCTGGCCTGTTCCGTCTGACGCAGTCCTGCCTGGTCCAATCCCATCTGGTGTGGTCTGGTCCCATCTGGTCCGGGCGGTTCGGTCCGCTCCCGTCCGGTTCCGCTCCGTCTCTTCCCGTCCGGGTTTCTGCCGATCACGTCCGGCGACGTTCGATGTCGCCTGATCCCGACCAGCTTGGCTCGGTCACTTGCTAGCTTGTTTGATCCCATCTGATCCGACCGGCGCCACCCGATTTGGTCTGGTCTCATTACGCCCCATCCGGTTCCATCCGATCCCGTCTGATCGCGTCCAGTACTGTTTGGCTCTGTCCAGTTCCGCCTGATCCCGCCTGGTTCCGTCGAAAGCTGCCCGGCACTCCGGTCTCGTGCGGTTCCATGCTGTTCCGTACAGACGTATTGAAAGGTTGACAGGGACTTTGGGACATTGTGACGTCATCTTACATCAGCTGAAAGTGTTGTGCATTTCCCGTTGCCCATATGATATGGGTTCTGCACCAAATTCAGTCACTTCAGACTGTTTTGGTAAGCATGAGGCCTACGCCGGTTGTACCCAAAACCTGCTGCTGCTCAACATTCAGATGTAAATGATGCTCACATAATTTTCGCCAGTCTTCAATAGTTTGCTTTCTCAACCACAAAGTAATTGTGGCCACATTTGCAGAGATGTCGTAAATACTGTGATTGGAATGGGATAGTTAAACTTTTTCATTGTCATTCCTAGTGCAGTTGAGCTAGTGTCATTCTTTGAATTAGCCTTCTCTGTTCCTCTATCACAAGTCCATTGATCTTTACATGTGACATTGCCATGGGCCAGGGTTTGTATGATGTATTGACTATTGTCCACAGCTTGAACAAGTTTCTGTTGCATTGACACTAACTCCAGACAATGAAGAGCTCAAGCAGCTGGCATCAAGTTTAAAGGAGCTGATCGAGCTGACAGAGCAGCATGAAGATGAAGACACACATACCGAGCAGCCTGCAAACGGATGGGAAGACAATGCTGCATCAAGATCTCTGGATGATGAGATGGCTCTTTTTCAGGTGGGAGACTGACCTGACTGGCTCCCAATGACTCGCCAGTGATGCACGTGCTGTTTAGTGTGTCGCATTTGATCCCTGGTGGCAGATGGCGCCATGACGAATTTATGATACTGATTTTCATGGGGAGCCAAGTGGCTGTTCTCCAGTATTTTAGGTTGCACTTGGTAGTTCTGCCAACTAGGGTAAATTGATGGCGTGAGCGTGTGTTCACATTATATTTAACATATACAGCATGATGGAGCATATCACAGGTACATTTTTTTTAATGCACCTTAAACAATCCAAATGACGCGTGCATTCCGACTGAAGCTGGTTTACCATAATTCATTCAACATCCAAACTGATATTGTGGTCACAGGTCCCAACGGTGGGGACATTTGCCGCTGCTGACTGTCACCAGCTTCTAAACTGCTGTAGACTAGCCCAGTCAGCTACCAGTCGCACCCGGTGTCGAGACGTCCCTGGATGCGTTCTCAGTCGGAGATTGCGGCAGTGGAGCGGGCCGACGATCGGGATCTGACCGGCTCCGAGGCTGACTCGCCAGATGGCGACACTGAGCAGCCGCCAGACGGCGCTGACGACCAGCGGCGGCAGACTGCCGAGGAGCTGAAGGTCAGGCGAGGCGCCGCCGCCGCTGCCGCCGCCCGGCTGGGAGTCATGGGCGGCGTAAAAATCGTCACGTTTCCAGAACGCTGACCTGAGTGGTCAGAATACATTTGGTTCTCGAAGGAGGACAAAACGAACATATTGGGGGTTAATTTGTGATCAGCTGCTTCCTGATGGATGTTCTTATGCTCATTTGGTCTTATGCCCGGTGTGTTTTCATGACAGGTGATATGGGCTAGGTGTGTTTTGATATATTCATGTCTAAATCTCAATCATGCTTGGCCTTTGTACGTTGTAACTGAAGCTTTATAACTGCTGAGGTGGCTTTCAAAATCACACTCATGTCAAATTTTTTTTTTCTGGTGATGTCACACACAGCTGGTGCACTGATATAGCCTCTTTACCAATTCTGTCAATATGACATACAGACGGATGATGCATAACTAGCAGGATGACAGCGTGTCGTCGCCAGGTTTCATGCGCGTGTTAGGAAGTTCATTTCGACTCTGTATGTCGCGTACGTGATTGAGCCATCTCCCGACGTATTGGAGGTGTCACACCGTGTGCAGCTCTCTCGTGCACGGACGCCCCTCCCGGCCAGTGCGTGAGCGGTGTACAGCGGGCTCTGCCTCGGCAGGCAAGCCTCCAGGGTTTGGTCGGCGCCCGGTGCAGCGCGCCCTTCACCCAGGCCTGGGGCCAGCTCGAGTACCACGCCGCCATTGTGGAGGCCGTCGACGACGCCAGCCTGGAGGACGCCCTCTCGGCCGATGACGTCAAGGTGACGTCATCAGGTGACGCCGGCCCGGCAGCTGCCTGGGGAATGCTCGGAACGTGGGCCACTTGAGTGGGGCGCGAGACGCTGGGCTGGCCGGTCGTGGGTCGTTGCTGTTGCTGGCTGCCGTCATCGACTATTTCACGCCATAAGCAGCGTGTTTTCAGAAAATTAATTGTGTTCTGCTCGTTGTCAGCGAGATACATTGCCGGCAAATCGGTCCCCCGAGGAGAAACGGCCCACGCTAGTCTATTAATCACCAGCGAGCCCCGTTTATGACTTAGATCGATGTGAATAACGTGGTCGCTGGTAACGCTAGTGCCAAAGTACTGTTTGCCATGCCGGGCTAGTCGATATAGTTTGCGAACTTGTCATCACTCAAGCTAATGTACGTGTTTACTGGTGGGCACGTTTTGTAGCCCGTCGATTCAACACTATTCACTAGCGGTAGTTCATGCAATGAGTAGCTGTTCCTCATAGAACTGGGCCCCGCACACAAGGAACGCCCAACAGACAGGCAAGACGCAATCGATTACCACCCCATCGATTTTGCTACCTGGAAGTACGGCGTATTTGTGTGGTGCTCTGTACAAGGTTTCCGTTTTCAGGTCCGGGTATTATTCAGCCATCCCACGCAGCGAGTCATGCAGCCCTGCAAGTACTACATGCGCCACACCTGCGACTACGGGGATGAATGTCGGTTCTCTCACGGCCACCTCGTTTCCGTGTGCGACATCAGGGAGTACAGGTTAGAGCGAGGCCGTAGCCGTCATATGCGGAAGGCGTGCCGCTTCTGGACTGGCCGTTTTGTAACGGTGCTGACGTCAGGTAACGAACGATCGAGCTCAAGTGTTCATGAGGTCTCTTGTTCCGCGGTTATAAAACTGAGTTGATATGTCTACAGTAGTGAAGCCCCGCCCTCCCGCTCCTCCTAGATGGTAATAACCGCGGTGATCCTGAATGATCATCGCGACGATACTCCGCCCCTACAAGCTCCAGTGCAAAGCTACCCAATCGCTGGGCTGTAAACCTGCCAGTCTGCTCCCGATGAAGCCCCTTCCTCTCCATTGTTCTGCCGAGCCTCTGTCGCCCCCATCACCAGGCAGCCTGTCATCCCGTATGCCCCTCACCCACAGTCAGCGTGTAAGGCGTGCGTTCTCTGTGTGGCCAGTGACGCCGTGTCCGGTCTGTCGCCGGGCGCCGCCGTGCTGGTGCGCCGCGACGCCGACAGCGGGCTCTGGCAGCGCGCCGCCCTCCTCTCGCTGGAGCCGGAGACGGAGCAGGCGGCCGTCCGGCTCGGCGGCGACGGTCGCCACCGCCAGGTGCCGCTTGCCGAGCTGGTGCCGCTGCCCGGAGCCCAGCCCGGACAAGGGTACGGAGGGGAAGGCCACATGTTCGGTGTGTTCAGGGGCGGATACCTGCAGGTGTTCTGTGTGTAGTGTCGTGTTTCCAGGTTCGTGTATTATTCAGCCGTGCGACAAAATGAGTCGTACAGACGTACTGTGTCGTGCCGCGTATCATGCCATCTGGCGGCAGAGCCCGTGTCAACCTTCAGTTATGCAGTCGTTGGCGATTGCATTGCACTGCTGCACGGCGCTCGTTCTTATGATTAAGCGAGAGCCCCGGCCTGTAGGCTGGAATGCTGAGGCACCAGGCCCAGCCCGTGTCGTGTGTACCCCGGCCATCGCCGGCCGCCCTGCCCGCCGCTGACCGGTCATTGTCGCTGGTGACTGGCAGCGGGGACGTCAGCAGCTCGGACAGCGAGGACGGGAGCGCGCCGGAGCCTCGGTCCGCCGGCGACCCGGACCCGGAGGAGGCAGAGTTCTGCCCGCGTGTCACCTGGGAGGACATCGCCTCCACGGGCCAGCTCGGCTCCTGGGAGAAGCACACCAAGGCGAGTCCCGCGCTGGGAGGCCGCCCGTTGGCTGCCAAGTCGAGTGACTGCCGAGAGCTGAATATTTTATCAGTGAAACGGTTACTGGCAAAGTAGGTCTTAAGTGTATAAAATAGTAAGTGAAGGAACTGACTTTTAAGGTCGGACAGAAGGCTTTTGTACGAGGAGAGCCCACATGAGCTTGTGATGCTTACGCCCATTGTCTGGCTGCGGTTGTTCGCGATCCATACGCTGCGTCAGCCTTCTGACAGTCGGGGCCCTGTGATGGGTCCGTGCGGTGACCGTACGAGCCGATCCGGGCCGCCCAGCAGCTGATACTGATGGCTCGGGATCGAGTCGCCCTTTCCATGCGCTCGTGCGCTGGACGATGATGTGGCCTGTTCCCGTGAGGCCGACCTGTCCGTCCAGCATGACCTGCCCCGACCGGACACGACCGCCGCGTGTGCTTACATGACCCATGCCGTGGCCGGCTGCACGTGTCCACACCGTCCCCTCGCGGCGCCCCGTCTGTCGTCTGTTGCCGTCTCGAACTGCAGCCGATGACGCGCGATCTCATCTCCCTGCGTCGGCGCGTGCAGGGCGTGGGCTCGCGGTTGCTGCGCCAGATGGGCTACGTGACAGGCACCGGGCTGGGCCCGCTGGCCGACGGCCGCGTCGAGCCGGTCGAGGCGCGCGTCTACCCGGCCGGCCGCTCCCTCGGTGAGTGCCGCCGCTGCCGCCGGCTCCTGATGCCGACTGATGACGCTGTGGTGCATTGAACATGTTGCACTGCATTTTGCATTGAACGTGCAATTGCATTGAACATTTTGCATTGCACTGGTCGGCTGCACTGCCAGCGTACACTGAAAGGAATTCTTGCATGATGTGTGCGTGTTTGTTTCGCGCACGGATGTCATTTTCTGCGCATGTCGTACCCTCGAATGTCGTGCACATGGAGTGGGGAAGCGTTGTTCTGATCGAACAAGATCGGCCAAAATCATGTAGATTTAATGGTTTGGGACACTGAATTTACTGTGACGGTTTGTGGTGCTCTCACTGCTACGCCTCTGTTTCGTCCCATATGAAAGTGAGATAGTTCGCCCACGCCATTTACGCAATAATTGCGAACATTCAACTCAGCATGTGTACACATACTGGGCGGAATCCACGTGTCATATCCTCGGAACCAGTTCTCGATGGGGCCGTGCCTCCGAGCCCAACGCCCGTCACCACCGCGTGACCCAGTCGGCGCCGCCTGAGCCGCCACCAGCGGATGTCGCGTCGGCCGGCGACAGGTGGCCGGTGGGCTGTGTGTGGCCCGTCGCGGCTTGCGGCTGTCGTCCCTCCCCCGTCCTTCCCCCGGCCGGCTCAGCGACGCCGGCCCTGGCCCGGCCGCTGCCACAGATCACTGCATGGCGCTGCGGGAGGGCGGCGCCGGCTGTCTGCTGACCGTGGAGCGCCGCCTGGAGCGCGAGCAGCGCCGCCAGGAGAAGATCGGCCGGAGGGCGCAGCGGCCCGGCCGGGGGCACGCCGCCATGTTCGACGTGATCAACCGCGCCACCGGGACGCCTGACCACGGTCAGTGGAGAGCGGCGGTGAGGCTGGCCGAGAGCGGCCGGGATCTCCGTCGGAGGAGAGAGAGGACGGCCGGGATCTCCACCAGAGGGGGGAGAGAACGACCGGGATCTCCACCAGAGGGGGGGGGGGGAGGACGGCCGGGATCTCCACCAGAGGGGGGAGAGAACGACCGGGATCTCCGTCGGAGGGGGGAGAGAACAGCCGGGATATCCATCGAGGGGGGGGGGGAGAGAACGGCCGGGATCTCCGTCGGAGGGGGAGAGAACGGCCAGGATCTCGCCTGAGTGTGAGGAGAGCGGCCGGGATCTCACATGACGGAGGAGGGAACGGCTGGGATTTCCACGTGATGCGGGTACAGTGTGGGAGTTTCCATCCCTTCCCCCGTGACACATAGGATTATGGGTTTCTTTCGTATGCTTCGTAGAGTACAGCTCCGGCACAGCTGCAGGCGAGTGTCGGGCAAAAAGCAAAACTCTCCGTGTCAACCAGTGGCGCAGACGGTCGTGTTTGCTGCGCCGCGTGGAATCGTAGGCTATCGCTGTCAGACGGGACCGATCCGCTAATCCCAGCGGCGGAAATGGGAGCTCTGATCGCCAGCGATGTCCTCCCATCCTTCTCGGGTTCGTCCACTGGCCGGCCCGGGGACGATGGGAGGAGGGCGAGCGTGCCGAGGCGCGGTCCCTCCGCCCGGTCTCGCCAACCGTTTTCCGCGTTCCACCCGACTCATGTCGCGTGCCGCGCGACGGCTGGCGCTGTGCGGCTGGCCACGCTTTGTGGCGCCGTGGCGTGACGGTGGTCGGCGCTGGAGGCGCGTATTGACGCGGTGCGGCGACACGTGACGCGTGCTTGGTCGATGGTCATGCCAGCCCGTGGCCGGTGCTGTGTAGGCGGCCTGCCGCACACCACCGACAAAGCGATCCTAACGGATGGCATCATTCGCCTTAAGTGGAACGCGCCTGGCCGTTCTGTTGACTGTGGACATGAGCTGGATCGATGCCGGAGGAATGCCGTCGGGCGGGCACCAGGTAGTAGCGAAGGCGACGGCTGGCGGCGTCGCAGTGGTCGATCTCCCCGCGGTACCAACGGCTGACAATTGCCAGGAATGCACTGGATGTATGCAAGCTTCATGCAGTTTAATTCCGCACACAATGGATCATGCAGTTTGATTCCGGTCCCACCAGCACGCAATGGATGATGACCGCTGGCACTGACGCAGGTGCGAAGTGACCTGACGTCTGTGGTGACATCCGCTGACTGGCGGCGCGTGTGGCAGGATCGGAGCCGGCGGCGGAGGACGGCCCGGTACGTTCCGCCTCTCGAGCCGAGCTCAACCTGCGTGACCTGCGCGTCGGCGAGCAGATCCGGGACGTGGAGCGACACATCGCGCGCCTCGAGGCCGGCTGGCGACGTAACGCTGGCGGCGCGCTGGGCGCTGACCTGCGTGGCGCGGCTGGACGGCCAGCGCCAGCGGCTAGCGGGTCTGCGTTCCACCGAGCGCAGCATCCAGGCCGAGAAGCGGCAACGCACCGGCAGCAAGCGGCTCGACGTGTTCTGAGGCGGCCGGACGTGTTGCGAGGGCGGCCGGACGTGTTGTCCGGCCGCGGACAGTGTCGCGAGGCGGCCGGCTGGGTTTTAGGACTGTGGGACGTGTTGCGAGGCGGTGGGTGGCGGCTGGCGGGGTGGTGGGCGGCCACGGGCGACACGACCGTCAGTGCTGCCGCGACGTGACCGGGAGTCGGTCCGTCCCAGAGCCCTCATCTTCGTCAGCGGCTGCCGATGGCCGTCTGTCGACTAGCTGTGTGGGAGTGCCACCGCCGCTCGGCGGCACTGACAGCTGCGTGACGCACGGGATGTGACGCGCTCACATGAGCTCTCGGCGCCACACGGCACGGCCCGTGTTTTGTAGGTCACGCGGAATACAGGGAAACAGAAACTTCAGGCTGGGTACCAAACTTCGCCCTGGAATGTGCTATACACCAGTTGTGCGGCGCCTGCACGGATGCCTGGCGTTTGCAACATTACTTGCGCAACAAAGAGGAGTGATATTCGTGTCACGGGCGTATAGTCTCATTGCACTCAGTTTTGCATTGTTCTGACCGCATGGTTTTGTATTGTGTCCATATATTTAACATGGAAGACAACAAAGATTCTGTATGATTGAGCTTGGTTTCGTTTGCTTTCGAGAGCCACCACTGGAACACTGCCGCCCACCGCACGCCCGTGGTGTCATTTCCATGTATAAGAAGCTTCAGTAGTTCAATAACAGGTGAAGTCCGTTTTCACATGCACTCCCAGATTACGTCATCATATACAAATATGTGAGCCTTTTGACAGAGATAGTTTGCGCCCTCATACCTGCTGACGTGTTCCACGAGTCCGCGGACGTAAGTGGAGAGGATTGAAGATGAGGCTAGAGGTCCTCAACTTCAGAGCGGTCCGACGCTAGCATCGCGACAGGTGACAGCCTTTCTCCATAGCCCATGGGGTTAATAAATGCCATGCAGATTTGAGCGCGCCTGATAGAGATGCGTCAGGTGGAATGTCCTTTTTTGCCTTTGAATGTTTTTGCAATGTCTGTGGTACGTGTTGTCCTGTCACGTGTGGGCTTGCTATGGTACCACGATATGTAATGCCTGTGCCAACGCCGGATCATGCGCAATGCACGATCAGTCAAAAATCGAGCGCTTGTGAGGCGAAGCCGTAGGTAACCGTGAGATTCAGCAACGCGTGGCTGTATCGTGAACCGTCCACCATCGCAACCAGGGGGTGGGACAAACGAGTGCCGCGATACTGACGGGATTGTCCGACGTCCCAGTCCCTCGACAGCATCGTTAGCCGGTGCTGAGCTGGCGTGATTAGAGCCGTCTGCTTCCAGTCACAGCCGGGGGGCCGGGAGGGGTGAAGGTGCTGATCACAAGGGACGGGGAGGGGTGCCGGTCACAGCGGGCCGGGAGGGGTGAAGGTGCTGACCACAGGGGGCGGGGAGGGCTGGAGGTGCTGATCACAGGGGGCCGGGAGGGGTGGAGGTGCTGGCCACAGCGGATCGAAAGATGTGGGCTGCCAATCACAGGGGCGGGAGGTGTGCTGGAAGGGCTGGAGTTGCCGGCGACAGCGGTCGGGGGGGTGGAGGTGCTGGCCACAGCGGATCGAAAGATGTGAGGCTGCCAATCACAGGGGGGCGGGCGGGAGGTGGGCTGGGAAGGCTGGAGGTGCCGGCCACAGCTGTCGGGAGGGGTGGGGGTGCCGGCCACAGCGGGCCGGGATGGGTAGGGATGCCGGCCACAGCGGCGACCAGACATGAGGGCTCGGCCGACTCATGTCACGGGGGCCGGGCCAAGTGAGAGGAGGCCGTCCCCTCGCGTGACAGTGGCGTGCGGCTCTCAGTGGCCGTGGGGTCACGGTATGTGTATTTGGGGGAGGGGGATCGACTTATTAGGCAAGAGTGGGCTGGGGAGGAGGGGGGGGGGGGGGGCGACTACCTCATCTGGCCAGAGCGGGCCGGCAGGTGTAACATGATCGACCACCTAAGGTCAGAGCGGGCCGACAGGTGTGACGTGATTGGCCACCTCAGACCAGAGCGGGTCGGAAGGTGTGGACACCGGTCGCCAGAGGACCGAGCGGGCCGCGGCCTCAGAGGCCGGTGGTCGCTGGGTGCGCCAGACAACCGCGCGCCGCCGATTGCACGCCCAATGCGCGCCCCAATCCTGCTTGGACCGCCGCCAGGGACAAAATAATCGCGCCGGCCTGCCGGCGGGCGACTGTGACTGGCAGAGCGGCGCGGCACCTCCGTCCAATGCCTGACCTTCGACGCGCCCGTGTCGTGTTTAGTACCGTCATGCCTCTTGTCTGCACGAGATAGTGCTGCTCGCAGCTCATCGGGACGACAGAAACGACGCCAATGACCATTGCGGCGCGCTTTTATTTGCCACGTACATCGGTACACGAACAACGATAACGGCAAACGGTGAGATTGCACTGTGCCAAAATACCGATCGATAATCCTACGACGCTCCCCCGAGCTACACGCACGGGGTTTCGGCTCACACCCATGACATTTTTTTATCTTGCCCCGTTACCATGTACCTGGCTCTAGCGGAGACAGACGGCGTTTTATTAAATATGCGGAAATATGCAGTACATTCGGCGATTGTTATTAGCCACCAGTCGAAACGCTATGTGACATGACATTGATCGCGTGCGTGTTTGTGTATATGCATGTCTCATGCGTGGACAAACAAGCCAGCCTAATGGCCGCGGTTTATCCAGGAACATTGATCGCCCACGTGTGTCGATGAAGAAGGTCGGCTCATGGCCGCCAACTGTTCTGCGACAACTAATGCGTATCCGATAAGTACCGACGAAGAGATCGAAGTTGTGGTCAATTCGCCACGCGCCATTGACCACGGTGTGTGTGCGCCTTTGGTTTTACGGACGAGTGTCGTCCGCCATGCTTGTCACTTGGGTCGGGGCTGCAAATATGCGCTGTTGGCGCGCGATTCGATGTGTTGTACGCTATTGGCAGACAACACACAAGCCCCTGGGCTCTTTCTGGATGCCCTCGAGAAGCAGAACAAGTGCGTTTTGCTCGTGAATTGCTGTCAGAGATTCGCGCTAGCCTATCGAGGCCGAGGTGTGCACAACACCGCAAGGTCCGCAGAGAAATGACCCTGTGCAGCTGTGC